TATATATAGTGATAGTTATATATATATATATATATATATATATATATATATATATATATATATATATATAGGCCTGTATAATATGTTATTACATTAATTTCTTGTGGAATGCTATAATGACAATATATATAAACAAATAGATGAACCATAACAGTGCTCAGATATGAACTTAGGATTTTATAATCGTACCAAATGGACCCAATTTTGTATGGGGGTGGGGGGTCATCTAACACTTCTGATGGGGTGAAGGGGAAAAGCCGGTTGGACGCAGCTTTGTATAGTAGGATGTTGGGGTTCCGATAAGGTATTGGTAAAAATGTAGATTTAATATTCGCTTTTAAGCTTTATTACAAAAATAACAATCTTTATATTACATAACATTTCGTATTGTTGATATGAACATATTAACGTACCTGTACTTTAAGGTATGAGAGTGCAATTTCCGGGGGCCTAGAGGTCCATATTCTGAAAATATCTTTTTATTGCTTTTTGACTAATATACAGTATTGCTAGTTCCGAGGTCCCTACTAGTGACAGTGCTATAGCTGCTAATTCTGCTTTTTTTTTCTTTTTTTTTTTTTGCTTTGGCGTTGCTGATCGCTTGTGGTTGTTATGTGGCTGCTATGTTGCTATTACAGTACATCGACCACCCTTGTTGGAGGCAGTGTTATAGCATCTTTTTCTGCTATGCAACATTTGGTTTGCTTTTTACTGCTGTTTGTCTGCTATATTGTTTTTTCTAATCTCCCTATTTGAGTCAGTGTAAAAAACAAAAATACTAATAGTACTAAAAAAAATTAGGAAGTAAAATAAAGTAAATAAAATCAAGTTCACAACTTACCCGACGTTAGTGAGACTCGAACTATTGCTGCAAAGGAATGGTGACAACTTATTATAGACATAGCTAGCTATGAAGTCGACCTTGTGTACGTCATTGCATTTTTAGTTCATCTACCTTGAGTAATAATATCATGGTAATTCAGTGATTGAGAGCAAAACCAGTTTTTTTATGCATTTCACGGTAATTTTGCGTTTACCTTAGTTTAATCACCAGTCCAAAGATATTATTTAAACGGTCCTCAAATCCACACCCTACTTCCGATCGCCACCAAAGTTTTAACATTAACATTTCATCATTAAAACATTACACACTATTCTAGAAAATTTCCTTTAGGTCCATTGATAATTTGAAGTGACCCTCATATTCACACCCGAATCTTGGCCGAAACTAAGGGTCAATAGTTTCTTCCTTGTACAGTAACGTGATAATTTTGATTTCCCAGAAAGTTTCTTTCAGATCAGTTTTTGGGATATCTGGATTTGGACGTTTTACCGTTAAATGACCCTCATGTCCACACCACACACCGGATTGTTACCAAAATGTAATCATTTCTTTATTGGACTTTAACAATTCTGCAAAGTTTTACTACCAAAAACTATTCTGCAAAGTTCTATTTTACTCCATTGGTTAATTTTGGAGATTATGACATTGAATGCTTTTACGAGTAAATTCAAGTCTAGCATTTTAATCCCACCGTCACATACATCACCAATGAAGGATTTTTTTTTAAATTTTCTTCATAGTAGTTTTTTTTATAGTAAAGACTTAGAAATAAGGGTCAGGCTGACGGTATAAATTAGAATGCTATATGAAAACACACAAACCAAGAATTCCCAATGGTTAATAGTCACAATTGACAAAATTGTATTTATTCGGTGTAACACATGTACCAGTCATATACCAATGTCCATAAAAGATAAGAGGGAAACAATCTAGTTTGATGTAAAGTTTATTGCTCAAAGGTGTTAAACTATAAATTTGAATGAATTTTTATTAAGCCTAAAAAATAAATTGATTGATTGCCCTTCTTTATTTAAAATGATAAAAAGGGGCGGTTAGGCCTAAAAAATAAATTGATTGTTTGCCTTTTTTTTTAAATGATAAAAAGGGGCGGGTGGAAAAACATTTTTTTTTATTATAAGAAAAAAAGCAACAACAACAACAACAAAAAAAAAAACTTTTTGTTTTGCCGCCCTTATTTCTTTCAGTGAGTTAGTAGCCGGTGACCAGGACAAACATTATTTTTAGGCCTTATTTTAAGAGTTTTGATACAAGAAAAAAAATGTGTCCACTTAATAGGGGTTAAATAATTATGTATTGATTTTACTATTTGTTTCACAGAAGTGTCCAACTAATAGGGATGCCCCGAATAGGGGTGTCCAAAAGGAGGGGTTCTACTGTACTTTATCACAAAGCATTAGTCCAAAAGGTGCCTGAACGGATGACAATCGAGCGACTCATCCTCCCAGGCAGCTCCGGTTTCAAGAAATGCAATATGTGCTATTTGTAACTTCATTATTGTTATTACAGTATTGTTATCATTATTAAGATATTGAATGAATAAAATGTTTAATAACATACTGAATACGTAAGATATTGAATTAATAATATATTGAATGGTTACGATTGTATGAAGAATATATTGAATACAATATTAAATGAATCACTCTCAACAGACTCAAGTGTTTTTATGTTTTTATTTTATCTGCAACCAATAGTTATGTTATCCAAAATTACTATAATATCTATTTTTAAAAAAACTATCCAAACCAAAATATTGGCACTAATAAAGTTAACAGCGAAAATAATTCAAATGCACCTCGTAACGTACCGAATATAGCACATTAATAAAAAATTGTTGCTGACTCGGCATTAATTCACCATTATGTGTACCCCGCATTAGCACACAGACTATGTTAATAACCTGTTTCACATGAGAGAAATATAGGCCCTACTAAATATTAATTAATTTCATATAGCGCACATATCCAATATATGGAAAAAATGCTAAGGCACTGTTTTCTCTCTGGTCATTGGATACAGAATCAATCATACATAACGTGCAACCTCCTCCACTCCCTGGGGAGTATACTTAGTTATGCATGTAATCAGCACTACTAATTTCATTCCAAATCATTCACCACCTACCAGGTACCTATTTATACTCCAGAGTGAAGAGAGGTAAATCAGATAAAGTGTCTTGCCCAAGACACAGGCAGTGTGATGAGCATCAGTCTCGAACCTCCAATCTTCCAAATGAAAGCCCAACACGCTGCACCACACACCTCTACATAAATAATTATTAACAAAGTGTACCAATGATATTTTTACCAGTAAGGATAGATCGCCCGTGAAAAATACCCATTAATACCAATGATATCTCGCTACATCTGGGTAAAAACACAGATCTTATGGAGGCCTAATACTGATATATTCAGCAAGTATCTGTGAACATGGTAAGGAGGTGCAGCTAATCTTTCACTTAGGCGTTTCGCATATCTTCACTGTCTGTGCATATCAATTGTACCAATTTTTATTATGGTTTATATTTAGGCCTAGTTGTGTCTAAGAAACTTGCTAGGGAAATATCAGAACAGATATCTCTGTTAATATTTAGTACATTCTCTCTCATTTGAATCGGGTGCAAGACCCTCCCACTTCTGTAACCAGTTCTAGGCATGCAACTCTGATAAATAATAAATAAATATACAATATGTTAATAAGTTTTTATTTATATGATAATTCATACATAATTAATTGTTCATATATTTTTGATATAAACTTTGCCTAGCAGTGATCTATCAGCTATTGTGAATGGCAGGATTATATTTAGATCTATCGGCAATTCTGATTGGTTTAATCCCTACATTTATTTTTTTTTTCTTTTTCAATGTACTGTGTGAATATTTATATTACACGGGATAAAATATCAATCAACAAATCAATAATTAATTTAATATTTCATGGGATCATAAAATAGTAATGAATGGCTTATTATCCAAATAAATGAATTATATTAGCATTGAGGATAATCGGTGGGAAACTGATGATGCCAATTTGTTATTCAATCTGAATTCCAAAATATTTCTCTCGTATATAATTTTATAATTAAAAACAATCCATGGAACATGTTAGTTCTTAAAACTATGATAAAATCCAAACTATTTTGTCAACAACAAACAGCCTATGTTCCGTAGCAAGATACACTGGCAAAACTGCATTCCAGGGCATTTACACAATTTTTGGTGTGAAGAATTAAACTGTCCTCATTTTTCGCTGAACCTAACTAAAACAACTTATAGCATGCTTCAATCAGATTCTTGTAAGACTTGGAGGGAGAACTTTGCCTGGCATTCCCCAAATTTGTTCTTTGCTTTGATTGAATAATTTGCCGAGTCTGTGGCTAGTGTTACTGGTATTGCCATAATGTAAACAGCGCCCTCAGCAGATAACATGATACGTTCACTATTTTCAACTAGGTGATCATCTTTGAACCATTCAACTGAAGGTGTAAAAAGAAAGAAATAACATTATTAAAGTGATTAATGTTACAGAATGCTATTGAATGTTAGGCACTTCAAACAATTTTCCTAACTTTTGCATTACATTATTTGACATGTCAACACACATTGATATTACTTATGCTTCATTATTTTAATAATATAAAAAAAAAAAAAAATAAAAAGTGTTAAAACACTTCTTTTCTTGCTGTAGGTGCTATAAATTAATTAATGTACCTGTATATAGATATCAATTTTGAATCACAATTACTTGCATGATCATTGAATAGAGGCCTAAAGTTTGTTGTTTTTTAATGTGTAGTGGTGTATACACACATATATATATACATATATATACATATATACATACATTGTATTTTGTTGCATTTTGAGTATTTTATACCAAATAAATAAAATAAATAAATAAATTGTCTTTATGAAGGAGTGTTTATATCTAATAACAAATAATTTCATTTATAATTTAGAATCACTATTATCATGATTATTACTACAATTAATATTGATAGTATCAGTATTTTATGAGGGAAGAGTGAAACATCCTTGATACTGATGATAACTTTCTAGAAATGGAAGAAATCAACAGGGGCTCTAAATCTCCAGTAAGTCTCCCGGACATCAGGACGGCCTCCTGCACCAGAGAAAAATCTACGAGAAAATAACTATGTCCCACAAATATATTAAATCCGCATGTTTTTACTACTGTATTACACCTCACAGAAGTCAATCACCATGCAGAAAAATGAAATTACTGTCCTAAGAAAGTTCACTTAAACAGATCTCCCGGAAATTACTCTTCCAACTGGGGACCCCTGAACTAAGTTTACCTTGTTGATCATTCCTGAACTTACCTTGTTTCTTGCTCAAAGATTTCTTATTCAGTTGCTTAAAAAGAAGAAAAAAAAGAACATATGTCAGTAAACTCACAAGATGTCGCAGGGTCAGCCAGTTTGCACTGGAATTTCACTGGTGCTCCATCATCAATCTTTTGTGATTTAGGCTTATCCATTATGATTGGGCCTTTGTAACTCGATTCTAAATAAAAAGATTTTTGAATGAAGAATGTAATTAATCAGCAGTTTTGCACTAATATGTTTGTTGAGCCATTATGGAAACATCCTAAATTATATTGTTTTGTGATTGGTTGTATAGAAAGCTGGTCAAATTGAATTTAGCAAATATGATATGAAATTACTTTAACTGTACAATACATTTACAAAACATATCCTGCCTACAGATCGTATCAGTGCCCCTAGTTCTACATCCCCTAGCACCAAATCTCTACTACCATATCAATCCCCTGCCCACAGCTCCTAGTTGTACATCCCTCAGCATCACATCTCTACTACTATATCCCTCCCCTGCCCACAGCCCATAGTTCTACATCCTCCAGCACCACATCTCTACTACCATATCCCTCCCCTGCCCACCCTAGTCCTACATCCCCCAGCACTGCATCTCTACTACCATATCTCTCTTCTGCCCACAGCCCCTAGTTCTACATCCCCAGCACTGCATCTCTACTTCCAAATCCCTTCCCTGCCCACAGCCCCTAGTTCTACATCTGCCAGCACCACATCTCTACTACCATATCCCTCCCCTGCCCACAGCACCTAGTTCTACATCCCACAGTACCTAGTTCTACATCCCCCAGCACCACATCTCTACTACCAATTCCCTCCCTTACCCATGGCACCTAGATTTACATACTCCAGCACTGCATCTCTACTACCATATCCCTTCCATGCATCACAGCCCCTAGTTGTACATCCCCCCAGCACCATATCTCTACTACCATATTTCTTCCCTGCTCACAGAACCTGATTGTACAAATCCAAGCAAACCATCTCCACTACCATATCGCTTCCCTGCCCACAGCATCTAGTTGTACATTACCCCAGCACCACATCTCTACTACCATATCCCTTTCCTGCCCACAGCCCCTAGTTTTACATCCACTAGAAACACATCTCCACATCTACAATATCCCTTCCCTGTCCACAGTCCATACCTCCAAAACTCCTACCTCATAATAACTAATCCACAACCCCTAACCAACTGCCTTTATCTCCACTCATATCTTAATTGTTACTGATAGGTAATAAGCATACCTCTACTGCAGATTCCCACACCCACATGCCTATCCCACACTCCTATAGAACCCCACCCACCAAAACCTTTATACAGATAACAAAAATAACTTACCTGATTTCTTTGGTTTGCTAGAACTACTTGAATTACTACCACTTGCACCTGTTATAGGAAAAAACAAAATGGACAAAAAATATCAGATACTGTTTGCAGAGTATTCTGGTCATTATTACATGACACAGTACGGCAGCATGTAACTATTTAACTCCCACCATTTACCTGCAATATGCCATTCCAAAATTAATTATTTGTTTATGTGAGTATGAACAATATATGTTTTTGAGATTTTTCACATTCATCGAAGAAATATTCATAACATTTGAATAACTATAACTTAAGGAATTAAAGTACACTGTAGTATTTTTTGTTTTATAAAATTTACATTATATTTAGATAGTGATTACTACTGTATAACGTCATGTGTACCTTTGCATTTTAAATTTTTAATCTGTTTCATTGTTCTAATAGCTCAATGTCAATTTAATCTTGTCGGTTTAAAAAAAAGTTATACACCATATATAATATCAACATATATAAAATATGAATATAAAAAAAAAACATTTTAGAATCTGTTGGGGTTTCCTAGCATGTTACATTATATAAGTGTTCCAAAATATTTCATATTTGTTGGCTGCATATGTTGTATACAAAGCACATGGAATAGAAATACAGAATAAAGTAGAGCCAAATGAATTAAAACAATTATTAATGAATACATAATATATTTATATAACACATCAGCCACAGAGTCATATATGTAATTAAAGTAAAAAAAAATTTGAAGCATGTATATATCATATAAATATTACATTAATTAGTAGGATGATTCATGGATTGAAATGGGGTCAAAGGTTGAGGCAAGTAATCACAACACACCTCACATTCATAAAACATACACAAAAACACATTATAGATATGGTTTAAATAAAGCAGCTACAGTAATTGTGAAAAATCCTAGCAGAACAACAGTTTGTTTTAGTATTACACAATTATAGACAGACATTTCAAAATGTATATTCAAATAATATATGTACATATATGTATGTTATGTACAATAATCTTTATTATTGAAATAACAATATTAAAATGTATGTAATACAACTGAGTACTTTTTCCATGGGGAAAAAAATGGTAACTACAAATTGGAAGGTTTTATAAGTAATGTTTATATGCATATTTTCTAAAATTATAATTTAGTATTCACAATAATATTTGTGCAGCCAGAGCCTTATGATAATTAACTGCTAATAAAATGTTTATCTATGTTTAATTTTTCATTGTTTTGTATGGTGACTACTCTGTTCCAAACAGTGTGAAGACCTTCCATTTATGACATCACACTCTATCAATATCGATCTGATTTACTAGTACCGTAAATGCTTGAATAAGCGCAGCACCAAACATGATTTTTTTTTGTTAAGCACCTTTCGAATAAGCGCTGCGGCGCTTAATCCAGTGTATATATTACCCTGTGTGTAATGCAACACTTTGAGAAACAAGGTTATAAATACAATGTATACAGTGTTATAATGAACAAATAACACAAAGAAGGCACAAGCATTTCTTTCTAAACGTTTATTTACGATGATGTAGGACCTATGATACTGTAGGTCTAACGAACTACGGTAATAATGTGTAATAAGTAACATGGAATGGGCATGGAAAGCACCACGCCAATACATTTTTTTTATAAGTGCCGCTCTTGAATAAGTACCACACTGAAGCCTCCAAAAATTTTATAAACCCCGCACGCTTGTTCGAGCATTTACGGTGACTACAAATATTTAAAAGAACCAATACAGAAGTTGAAACTAATAAATCAGCCAGTTTATTATAAAAGAATATTGTAAGTAATGTTGGCCAGCCCCTTAAATCCATTATTTTATGAACAGATTTTGTGTTTCTAAAAAAACAGAAACTCAATTATTCGCAGTGGACTACTTACTGGAAAGATGATCGGATTGAGTAAATGTATGGATTACTCTCGTACCGTTCACTTCCCATGCTGTCACAGGGAAAACAAAGTTAGTCAATCAAACAACACATATTATGCGATTACAATTAGCATCAACATGTACACAAATGTATTTACATTTGCATAAATGAGTGAATATGAAGCGGACATATTTACCAGCATGCAAATATCACACATGATAACGCAATTATACATAACAGGACTTTAATATTTCCAAAAAATCATGCTTCTCTATGATGGCATAATGCTCCGACTAAAGTTTTGTCCACCTATCAAATTTTATGTGACAAATTAATGTGATATGCCCATATTTGGGTGTAAGATGACATCATCATGCCCATATATGGGCACATCACACAAATTTGTCGCATAATTATTTGATAGTGTGGACAGAGCTTTAGGTGTGCTACAGTTCTGCTAAGCCCCGCCCCTTGGATATTGTTGCTAAGGTCCCGTAACTCGACAGTGTAAATACATACACAAACGTTTGTGCGTTTGTGAGACAACGTACGTGTGTTTGTAAAACATGCACGTATTCCTGGCACTGTTCTGATTGGTCAGTTTTTAAGTTTGATTGGCACTCCGGACAAGGTCCATTGACCACAAACATCTGTACGACATCATGCTCTTCCATGCAGCAGCAAAAATCATATGTGGTATTAAAAGGGCATTCAGATATCCACATTTAATGATGCATGCGTGTAGCAACCTAATTGCATTAAGCATGCCATGCAGACAACATTCATGTGTGCAAACATCACACATGCATGTATCCAACACATTCACTACTAACAGCATGCAATAATTTACTTTTCCTTTGTCTACACTCAGACCCCCGTAATTAAGGGGACACTTTCTGGTCCTGAAGGTGTCAACTTAATTCTTAATTAAGGGGTTCTACTGCTGTCTCTTATACACATCTAGATGTGTATAAAACCAATACTATAATCAGAGGAGCCCTTTGTAATTTCTTTGTCATTCACCATCCATGTAAGCTAAGGAAAAATAAAAGTATGTCACATGTATTAATAATAACAATAACAATAAAAACCTAATAACAAATACAGTCATTGGACAGGTGAGTTGGATGGCTGAGCAGTTAAGGCCATAATATCGGTGCAATTTCAAATGGCACACAAATGGTATCATACAATTGAATGTTTCGGTTACCTTAGCTTTTGGAATAGATTTTACAATGCAGGGCAATTTAACAATATTGTGCAATTGAATGTTTCTGTTACCTTAGCTTCTGGAATAGATTCTACAATGCAGGACAATTTAACGGTATCGTGCAATTGAATGTTTCTGTTGCGTAATCGGAATGTGAACATGGCTTTGCAATCCCGAATCTCTTCCGCAAATACTTTAGGAACAAAGGTTCTGCAAGATAACATACAAACACTTATATTGCAAAATTTTTTTACATTTTCAATTGTAATATGACTATTCCTCATAATTTTCATTTTTGTTCCATTCATTTTTCACACCTCCACCTGCTTTCATTTGTTAAAAGATGATTGACTATTCCATTTGGAAGAAATATAGACAAAACTTTCATTATTCAACATCAAATAGAAATAGTATTTTCATTCATTGAAAAATGGGCTTTTACACTCAACTGGGCTTCAACTCATTCAACATCCAATCTTGTTCTTCTGCATAGAAAAAAAAATGGACTATTCCATTTGGAAGAAAGTAGAACAAACTTTATTTTTCATACAATATCAGATAGAAAAAGTATTTTTTATCCATCGAAAAATAGGCAATTCCATTTAACCAGGCTTCAACTCATTCAACATTCAATCTTTCAACACATGAAATTATTTTTCTCAATGCATTAATAAACATTTATTATTTGTATTAATATAACTGTGCTTCGGTTTTTACCTTTTGATACTCGATGAGTCATCCTGTCTTTTCAGAGGATCAGCTGAAACATAAATTTTAAAAATGTATTATCTTCAACAAAGAATAATCAGCCTGGTTCCCAAGATTTTAGTAAGGAGGTTACCTATGACAGCCTGGGGTCTGGGAGTGCCAAGGTCCCCAGATGGCAGTCCAGTGCAAAAGCTCCAGAAGGATCAGGTGCAAAAGTACCCTGATGATGGGCTTATCAAGACGGAGATTGCTCAAAACAGGACGTGGCCAAACAATAGAAAGCCCCTGGGTATGGGCCTAAAAATAACAAAAATAATGACAATAATGATACTAATAACAAGTTTTATTTAACATACAGTAGAACTGTTCCTTTGGGGCACCCTTATTAAGGGGAAACTTTTTAAGCCACAAAATGCGTGAAAGCATATCTTTTAACAATACGGCCAACCCCTATTCAGGGGACACCCCCGTAATTAAGGGGACACTTTCTGGTCCTGAAGGTGTCAACTTAATTCTTAATTAAGGGGTTCTACTGTAGTATAGTAAAGAATATTTCAAATATATTAATTATTCAATTTTAAGTTAAATACCATAGGAAATTTTAACAACCTATATACAGTACTTTGGATGTGAATGGTAAGAAAAAAATATACTAGAATTGAATGCAAACTTACGTAAAACTTGCACTTTCACTTTATGTTCAATTTCTCCAAACGAGTTCTTTGCTTTTACGGTGTATTCACCATTGTCTTCAAGTACACTGAGTCCTATTTGTAGGCAGTACCTAAGCCCATCTTGCTTGTTCTTGTGCTTTAAGCTCTGTTTCAACTCAACATCATCACGCCACCTTAAAAACAAAAACCAATTAGATCAGTCTCACGGCCTAAATAACCTTTAACCTTTAGCCAAGTCGGCTGGCTGATGTCAAGTTTAGCCTCATGATTAAATAGTAAGATTATATATGTCATTTTTACTGTTTTTTAAATTAGGGTTACAATGTTGGTTGGTTTTTAGTTGTTTTTTTTTATTGAATTTTTGTAATGAATTTTAATGTATTTTGTATTAAATTTTTATGTCTTTGTAAAATTTTAATTTTGTACAAATAATTTAATTCAGCATTTGTTGCAAATGTATTTCTTTTTAAGTGATTGATTAATAGAGATCATAATCTTTGCTGGGTAGACTAGCATTTTAAAACATAATTAAAAAAAACATGATTTAAATAATTGTACATAACACCTGAAACGCAGAAAAACATTTTTAGACATGGGAAAGAAATGATGGTTCAATAGGCCAGGTTTTCTTTCACATACCATGTAATAAGTGGAGCTGATGCTGCTGCTATTTGACACTCTAAACTCACATCTCCTCCTTCCTTCACCATCATATCATGTGGTCTCTTGATAAATCTGGGCCTAGCATCCTTTCGACCTGCATAACAAAAATTCATCCATTAAAACAAGGCTTGAAATTAACTTAATTATTGTATCTTTATTTATAGTTTTTACAGTAGCTTAGTAGAAAATGCTACCATTAATTTATTCAATGAATAAATCAAAATTCAGTAGTGGCTATGCTCTTACGCTACCAAAAAACATAAAAAGTCAGGACAATGCTGGGAAGCAGGAATCAAAGAATAGACCACTGTGATTCACAGAACATTCTGCATCCTATTATATAAAAATAAAGTTTTAAATGCAGATTAAAAAGTATACTTATAAAGAAATATATAATAATACTTCAATCTTGATTGAGTGCATTTTCCTAAATCCTCAATGTGCTTTACATGAATAAAAATCCAAAATTAAACAAAATACAAATAAAAAAGATGTGTTTTGAGTAGTTGTTTGAATGAAATACAGTATTTCACTGTAGCACTCAAAGAAATAGTGAATAAATAAAACGGATAAAGTTGTTAATTTATACAGTGCAAATTACAGTATCCAGGTCTGTACAAACTCATTCCTCTTAATTTCTACTTTCCTAAGAGCCCAATAAGGTGTAGCCCATAGGCCCTTTGGCACAACTTCAAATAACTGAACATCAAAATATCAAATAATTTTGTAAATTACTTACTGATACCACACTCTACAACAAAGTCATCCTTGAGGGGACGTCGACGTCGATGACCACTGTTGTCACCCAATCGACCAATACCTACAACAGATGTTCCAGCCTATGGATGAAGCAAAACAACAGATACATATCTAATCATTTACAAAATTAAAATTTCAAACGCACAATCTATTCATTCCAAAATCATGATATATACTGTATATGGTTGTAAAGTATCTTTTCATTGTGTATTGGGGTGTTAATTCGCTCGGCACCACAACTAACTAGTTCATTGCAGACGAAAACAAATTTATTTATAGAAGACTCAAGCCAACAGCACACCCCTGTGCTGCAGCTTGGAGGCTAAATATACTTTCAGGGAGGAAAACCTGAACATTCACCTACTGTGACAAGTTTAAAACATTGTAATACAAAAACAGGATGCCTTATATCTTAGTGGGCATGAAGAGGGTTAACTCAGTCAAGTATGTTTTAACTTTGTCAAGTATGTTTTAACTTAGTCAAGTATATTCTAATGTACAGTAGTCAAGTTTCTTTTAACTAAGTAAAGTAAAATTAATAAATAAATAAGGAGAATTAATGACATCAACATGGACTCACCAACCACGGCCTGCCTTCTAACAAGCTACGATGCCTGTCAGTTGGAATTTTAGTTTTAGCTCCTCGGTCTGGATCCTGCAATAACAATTGTTAGAGACTACTTAAGTAACATCTCTATATTTTTGTCATAAAGTGCTTTTGATTATCATTAGTACAGATGACAACATTTTACTCAATTATATAATCACAATCTTAATTTAAATGCTGCATAAAGTTAAATTTACACTAGACACAATAACAACATGACAACGACATATCATCGTGTCATTTACATTCTTCAACACTGAGTGCATTTTTATTGTGTTGTTGTCGTGTCATTATAGTGTCTAGTGTAAATGGCTTAAGACCAATATTTAATGTTAATCAAAAGAAGGTTGTTAACCTTTAGCCATGGATGCTCCAACGCCTCGTGAGCTGCCATTCTTTTGCTGTAAAACAAATAATTAAATTCATTCAATTTATTATTACAATGATGTTTTTAGGGGATTTTTATGGGATTACTATGATACGAAAATTCTAAAGGGGGTTTTACCAAATTTTATGAGATTTTCCTAAGGTTTAACCATTTTAATGAAGTTTTTATGAATTTTGTATTCATCAAAATAGCCATAAAAATTACAGCATGTTACTAGACTCTACCAAATTCAAATACTATAGTAGACACTCAAAAGTAAAAATTTAAATGTGTCAGTGGTTAATGCAGCAGAGCAGGGGTGAGCAATAACAGTTTGGAGAAACAAAGTGAACTTTAGATTCAACTGTGAGGGCTGCACCCAGACTTTGATTTTCCAGTGTGCTTCCAAAAAAATTAATGGGCTGCTTTTTATACCATTTTATGTTTAATTCTTGTATTAATTTTAACAGATGATCAGTGTTGGGCCATAACAAACAAGGGGTTTTCCAGCCAAAGATGGTTGACAGGCCACACACTAAGTTTTTTCAATTCATTTTCGCAGGGCCACAACTCAATCACCATCGGGCCGCACCTGGCCCGCTGGCCGCACTTTGCCCACTGATGCAATAGGGTTTGCAGTTCAGTCTCTAAATCTGAAGGTCAAAAGCTGAATCAATTTAATGTCTAAACATTTGATTGCTTTATGACTCAATTTGATATTAAAATGACCAAATGTCACTTACTCCTTATCTTTGATGAGCAATCTTTCAATGAAATCTTTAGCTTCATCAGAAATTGGTTTGAAAGCCTCTTTGTCAAATTGCCATCTACAGCTGCTAATCTTGTCTTTATCACCATCGAATGGATGCAAACCACTCAACCTATAATGGTCAAAATATGAATAGTTTACTCTTATCTTCTCATAGCTCAAACTTGAAACATCAAAGTAGATCAACACTGAGGAGGGGTTGGCAGGAGCAGAGGTTAGGAAAAGATGAAGGTTGTGAGCTGGAGTTTATCCTAAATGGTCCTACTTCTTCTTTCGTTTACTGAATTTAGGAAAGGTGGTATTTTTCGCCTGATACATCTTATAAGGCAATTAGCAAAAAATACAACGTAAAATAATGAGGTACTTTTGGTTCTCAGTTTCCAACCTTGTTAAGTGCAGGTACAACTGCTATAAAAAATAAGTTTTAACAGTTATACAATATACTGTACTTGCAGTAACATATTGATGAAATTAAAACATTCAAAACAATTTTATTACTTGGTATAAAAAGATGGGAATAATTAAGTGACACTCACAGCATATAGCAAATGACACCAACTGTCCACATGTCAGTACAAAATCCAACCTCGGAGCCCTCAATGACTTCTGGTGCCAGGAAGTCTGTGGATCCTTGTGCCAATTTTGCTCTCTGGTCGGGGTCTAACTTGGTTGCCATACCAAAGTCGATCATTCTTACTGCACTGCTACGCTTTGTTTCGTACAAGACATTTTGAGGCTGGGTTGAAGAGAAATGATATTGTGTATGGTAAAATACACCTATCGTAGACTGTGATCCAGAAAGTAACTATAAATTCAGTTCAATATGCCCTGTGTTATCTAAAATGCATACAGTTTCAAGTATGTGGTTAATTCTTCACATCCCACTTCCTCCCTAGCATAAGTACCACAGATGATTTTTTGAATGAAAGTTGTTTAAACCCCCACCCACTTTCACTCAGCATGCTGTTAAGTTCCTAGAATAGATGTAGTTTAAGCATTGTTCCCTCTCCCCACTCCTCCCCTCCAATTTACAGCTAGCCTTGAATGTGACTCACCTTAAGTGCCAGATGCATGTAATTTCTTGTATGGATGTGATTTAAGCCTTCACACACCTGTTTGGTATACATAGCCACTTCAGCTTCTGTTAATACATAGTTTTTGTTCAGGCAGCGTTGGAATGCATCACCACCAGACAAACTGAAAAGTTTTCAAGATGTTACTGGACATGTGAGGGGCGCTTTTTGACTATTCTTCCCTCAGGCAAACATTGTACTTAAATGTCAAATTTTCCTCATCGTTAATACTTAATATTGTCATAATTATTACAATTATCATCACCAACAATACATTATCATTATCTTAACCATGACAATGATTATATTGAGTATGATTATGGTCATTATCATTATACAGTAGTTTGTATAGACTGTTATTGTTCTCTTATGATTATATTTATGAAATTAAACAAGCTTTACATGTAAGGTGAAGTTCGATGACAATTCTACCAGATCAGCAGCGGCACTTCAGGGTTAAAATGCTCTCCCTTCCTTCTGCACCCACCTTTCGGTTTGATTAATGCACTGGATTTGTGCATACAAGGATTTGACTAGTGCGTCTTCTCATGGTAACCCTGAAGTTACTTCGCTGCTGATATAAGAGAACTACTTACAAGTCCAGAATAAGGACCATTTTGCCATCAGTCTCAAAGACATCATGTAGCTGCTGTAGCCTTGGGAATTGCATGTTTGTCATGGCCTCAACTTCTTTGCGAAGGGAAGGTAAGTCAGCTGGCTCAACATCTATGAATTTTGCTGCAAAGTTCTTGCCTGTGGCCTTCTCCACTGCTCTATATACAACACCAAAGTCACCTCTGCAATAGTAAAAATATTATTTTAATCATTTTGGTTATATCATTGACAATATAGATCTCAACTAATTAAACTGTCCATACATTTTTTTTCTCATCTGCTAGATTTTACTTGGGAATATAAACCTTAATTCTAAGGGTAGCGCCAGGATTTTCCCGAGCAGGTGTCCGATGTCCCTGACTAGAGTGTATGTGGGCGTGGCCAGGTGTTACTTGAAATCTCTTGGAAGTGGTTGAGTGGCCCCGAAAACAGTGACAATTTAGGGGTTTCAATGACAATTATTCGATTTAAAGTCTACTAATATGTAGAAATACTTATAATTCCAGCGGTGGCACCAAGATTTTCCAGACAGGGCTCCGATGTCCCTGATGAGAGTATAATGGATATGGTGAGGCGTTACTTGAAATCTCTCAGAAGTGGTCGAGTGGCCTCCAGAAACAATTTAGGGGTTTCAATGACTTACTGAATTGATTTTACAGTCTACTAATATAGAAAAAACATTTTTTTCTCCTCAACAAATTCTTGAGGAATGGAAGGAAGCACTCCCCCTCTCCTTGCTGATGCCACACCTACTTGATTCAGTCTAGTGAATTACTTTTCATCACACTTTGAATGCAACACGTATACATGAAAAAATATTAACACATACTGTGTGACATATACTTACCTTCCCAGCTCTTCACCAATGTAATATTTACTCTCAACATCTGATTTCCTTGGTTTTACCTTCCTTCTAACAAATGGATCATCCAAGTCAACTATAAAAAAAACAAAAAAAACCAACCATCCACTGATTGTCAAATAATACCAAATCGAAATGGATAATATTCATTAACTCTTTTATTGACATTGACTAAACAGAAAAGGTTAAACACAGAATTACAAAAGTTACAACAAAAGTGTTGACAATGGTAAAAATAATGCCGTAATCTATGCTGCTCATAATTATTACAAAATTTTGGGGATGTAAAGTTAAAAAAAAAAGAATAAATTCTTGGGCTTAAATAACAATAGGGGACAATACTTTCTTCAAGACCAGCATATAACAATAAAGCCACATTCAGATAGAGCTACGTTACCACAATGTTGCGGAAATCTTCCTGGCAATTGCCTTTTGTATGAAAAGGTCAGAACCAAGCGTTACTGCTACTGTATATTGAGGTTATTCGGTGTACAGACGTAAGTGTGACATGCTTACTTGTATTTTTTCTTATACAAACAACACTATATGTATTTGTAATCCATTCATACAGAAAGGTAATACATTACAGTAATATTATCGCAATATTTGTTTGGTATCAATGGTGCATGCCGGCAAGCATAGAAGCACCGTTACGCAATATTGCCAGACCTGTCTGTCTGAAAGTGGCTTAAGAGTCCGATGCAGATTTCACATTAATTACTTCATCATTACATAATCCCTACATCATCTACATTTTTACTTTTTCACACCTCTTATCATTCTCATGCACACTGTAATCGAAATAGTACTCACCAATATTATCATAGTCAGACACTCTGGGTACTCGCGATGGAGCTGTGAAAGTCAAATGGGAGAATGCAAACAAAAATAGTTGCGAAAAACATAAGAAATTTACATGTTAAGATACTGATAAGAAAGTATTCCATGATAAGCCACACACAGATGCGTAAAATTTATTTATAATAATATCCAAAGCTCTGTCCACTCTATCAAATTTTCTTTGATAAAAAAAAAACTGTTGTATGCCCATATATAGTCACGATGTGCCTATATATGGTCATGATGTGATGTCATCATGACCATATTTAGGCATGTCACATGTATTTGTCAAGTAAAATGTAATAGTCTGGGCAGGGTGTCTGCCAACACAAGAGCTGGTCTTTCTAGTATGGTGAATTATGCACATCTATCTTCTCGTGAAACAATTTATAGTGTTTACAAAGGCACCAATTGTACATAACAAGTAATATACTTCATTTAAATTATTTTTTAATGTGATGCATAGATATTGGAGTATTGATTTATAAACTTACCTTCTGATGATTCTTCTTCAATTACTACACGTTTTGTGATAAGACTTTCAGGTTCTGAATATCATATAAATAAAAATGTTACACAGAGTTGTTTTTTAATATAACTACTTTAAAAATGAATAATTAAAGACATTTTGTATAAAATAATACTAAGATTCGTATTATTATTCATACATTCTGTACTGTTTACCTGGTATACTTATGGTATGCGAGACTTCTACATACTCGCTTGAGCCGTGAACATTATCCACACGGATTCTGAACTTGTACGGCATGTTACTTTCCAGCATGCTGGCCATACAAGAGGTCATTGAGGTTGAGGCAGCCCTGCTCCAACTGTCCATGTTTTCTGGTTTCTTCTCAACAACATATCCTAAGATAGGACTGCCACCATCATCTGATGGTGTGTTCCATGTTAACTCCACAGATTCAAAAGTGGCATCCTGAGCTCTGAAGTTTGCAACGGGGCCTGGTACATCTGATTAAAAATTATTACAGTAATATTTTCTATTAAAAGTACTGATTTTTCATCGCAACAGATGTAGGTGAACAAATTTTTTTCATACAACTGAACATTGAATTTGAATTTATCTTATCCACAGATAAACCTCAAAGTGCTAACATGAACGAATCAATGAAATGATCAATCAATAAGATGTCCAAAATTTGAGCATCAGACATAACAATAATAATAATTATAATAATAATAGTCAATTTACATAGAGCATTTTATAGAGACTTCTATGCCCTAAACATTAGTACCCCCGTTATCAGATGAAGCAAATGTGGAACACATACTCAAGTCCCTGGAGAGAATTCCATAATTTTATAGCTGTAATCAGTTAATTTTGTGTTTAAACCTACCAGGTCCCCTAATAATAAGCTTTGCCTACACCCTCTCCCCTCAATAGCATCTACAAAATGTCATATTTTCATTTAAAATTTAATGGATTTTCTAAAATTAAAATGTGTGAAAAAGACTGTAATAAGATTTATTACAAAAACATAATTTATTGAATAACTATAAATTTCAAAATTTTGTGTGTCTTCTTTATAAAACAACTTACCACAGACTTGGACATTGATCGTGGCCGAATCCTTGCCCAACGCGTTCTCAGCCGTTATCTTGTACATGCCTGAGTGTGGGCGATCTGTCCTGTCTATTGTCAACGTAGAATAGCGATCAGCCGACTCCACGCCTCGGTTAACGTTCTGGCCATCTTTGGACCATGAGCATTTTGGCTTTGGTAGACCAGTGACTGGGATTTTTAGTTTAATTGGTTGTCCTTTTTCAACATACACAACATCTCTAAAGCGTGGGGGTAATTTTATTTTTGGTGGACCTGTAAACGAAAGAAGTTTTGAGGTATGAGTTTACTTTACTTGTCTGTGATGAAAGTTGAAACCTGCAATAATCAAATACATTAACTTCCAATGAGGCAAATTCAAACAATTCTGTTCTTGCTGCTTCACAGACTTTTTACTATGATAATCTTTAAATTGATTACCAGCTAACTGACAGGTTTATACCAAGAACACAGAAACAGCACTATGAATGCATTTGTTAATTGCTCAAAAAAAATTTATCACATTTAAATTTACAAATAATTTTAGAAACTTATTTCACTTCCAGAATAACAAATACATATATGCGAGTCGAGATGCTGAGTGGTAAGGCAGGAACACTGCTATCTACAGCTTAACACCTGCCTGTTCGAGTCGCTCCTCACCCATGATTCGGTTGTAGATCCAACTCTTCTTGGATAAAGACTTACAATGGAGGTCCAGTGTACAAATCTGGCTTTTGTGCATGTTAAAGAACCCATTGCATCTTTCGGAAGAGAAAGGGATTACCCCGTTGCTATGGTTCATTTCAGCCCCTGCCATTGTGGAATGATGTAAACTTTATATACATGACAACAGTAATACCCTGACTGCCACAGCACTAGCACTACCAGAACAGTTATCCATACTACATTCACAACATATGCAATACTAAAAAATAATTTAACAGTGCTTGTAAATATGGAATGCGAAAAACACACTTACATTTGATAATAAGATCAGCTCGGCTGAACTTCTTGCCTCCAATGTTACTGATCTCACATGAATATTCATCACCATCCTCTCCAAACACTTGACTAATATTTAATATACATTTGTCATCATCAAAAGATATCAGGTACTTATCATTGGAATATAGTTCTCTCTGACCTTTGAACCTAATTTAATACAAAAATCAATTATCAAGTTATGGCTTGCGGTACATGTAAAGATGGATAAGAAAAAATAAATATTTGTTGTTGTTATTTAACAATTCATTTTCAAACTTTTTACAGTTTGATAATGAACAATCCCAATATATGACAATATATTATAAAACAATATAAATACAGTATAATATTATAATATAAGATAATAAAATATTATATATACAATAATATAAATTCTAGTAGATATAAAACAATATAACGATATTGATATGTGTTTATTTGAAAAAAAAGTGAATACCATCGTATGTCTGGTTTTGGTTTGCCTGTGTAAGACACCTCAAATACAGCGGGTTTGCCTTGTTCCACTGTCGTTTCCTGCATATGTTTCAGTATTCTGGGCCTAATAACCTCTACAAAAACAAAATACAAACAAATCATATCATAACAACATACCAACATGGAAATTTCTATCCGACTCAAGTAAAAACAGTTTACTGCTCATCTACAACATGTCCTATTAGGTCGCTGATATTCAGAGGCTCTCTTAAATAAATGAAATGATGTGATGCTTTATCAGTCTCATTACAAGACTTAGGGAGTGGAGATGTGTATTCAGTCCTGAGATAAAAAATCCTATGCTGTCACAGGATTTGAACCCTGGACACTGGGACCAGAAGGAGGCATCTTAACCACCAAGCTACATCTCCACTACAGCTTAAAGTCAGACTCTGGAAGAAACAATTCTTTTGATATGTTGAATAACTGATATTTTAAAGACAGAAAAACGTGGTTTGATTTTTGAATATTTAAACATGGTGGGGGGGGGGGGGGGGGAAATGGGCGTAACCGCCCTTTTTTTCACTTGCCCCCGTTTTTAAATATTCAAAAATCTCATTCACGGTTCGCCAGTTTTTCGTCAAACAACTTATTTATGTCTTAGATATATCAGTTCTACAACATATCAAAAAATGTTTTTTCCTCCCGAGCCAGACTTTAAGAAGGTTTGAAATCTAGTTATGCCTTCTTTGGCCTTGATTATATATTGTTTTATATCAACTATAATAATGTAAGCCTATACCTTTAGGATCTTTGATTTTGACAGCAGTACTGGCTGTTGAGGGCTCACTCAGTCCTCCTTCATTCACAGCAAATATTCGGAACTCGTAATTGCGATCTTCAATTAGATTTGGAAGATTGTACGATAGTGTTACTACCGGATTATTATTTACACGAACCTGTTAAAAAAAGAAGCAAAGAAATAAATATGAAACGTTGTATATTGAAACTAATTTTTCATTTACTTCCATTATCACCTTCATGATTATCTTTATCATTTCATTGTCTTAATCTTTATAGTCAACATCATATTCATCATCATGCTCACCATCATCATCAACAGGGGTGGATCCAGAAAAAATCCAAAATGTGAGGCATCGAGCATGAGGGGATGGGGTGGGAGGGGTGGAGGAAATTTTTGTTTAAAAAATTCTTTACCAGCACTGGCGCATGGAATTCAAATCGAAAATTTGCTTGTTTAACTTTGTCATCAATTGTCAGCATCATCTTCATCATTGTCAGCATCCTCACCATCATCCCCATAATTACCATCATCATTTCCTTTTACACTCACCCATCTACCAGTGCCTGCTTCAGATTTTTCAACAAAGTATCCTAAGATTGGTCTTCCACCATCAGAATCTGGACGAGTCCATGTCAGGTTCACAAAGTCTTTACCAACCTCTGTTACATCAGGTACACCAGGCTTGCTTGGTGCATCTACCAACAACAGAACCAAATCCTAAGTTATTTGTTTTAAATATTATTCATATTCATATATATTTCTAATGAAGGAATTTCACAATCATCATCATCATTATCATCATCTTTTAAAATCTGTTTTCCCTGCATGCGAGGGTTAGACTGTTGAAAGGCACATGTACAATTAGCTATAAGGTGGGTGTGTCCTATGAGACCAAGGAGTGCAATCAGCTGCAACTTCTGGATTGAGGTTTAATCGGCAGAGGTTCCCCCTCACAACATTCTGCCATGACTTAAGTGGATGACCTTGTGCATCACATTCTGTAATATGCCTTGGCCATCTCAACCTCAACCTCATGTCAACCTCAATGCACTGAAGATGGCCATACCAGCAAAGGCAACTGTGGCATAGCATATCACAACTGATGAATATATAAACAGTTTAAAGAGTTTTTGTTGGTTTTCTGTCAGAGATTCGTGTTGCACAAGCTCCGCTGGATACAACACAATGCCTAATGCTAGAAGACATACTTACCAAATGGGTTCTTTGCTAGGATTGCAGAACTTGTTGCAGTTGGTTCACCAATACCAATATCATTCTCAGCACTGACTCGCAAATGGTACAATTTATGAGTGGTAAGACCTTGTACAATGTATGTTGTGTCTTTCAAAAAGCTACCAACTGAAAGAGAACAACAGATAGATCTTAATAATTTTTATCTAAACTTAACTTTATTGAATTAGATTAGTGGCAATTGTTTATTTTGAGCAAATATATAATATATATTTTTATAATAAAAATATAAAAATAATGGAATGAAAAATTAATGAAGTGGTTTTTTTTTTTATCATAATACTGTCTCCAGTCTATCTCTACTGGTGATAAAAGCTGTAAAATAAATTTTAAAATATTTAACTGACCAGTAATCCATGCCTCTGTGCCATCTTCCTTACGTTCTGCAACATAGTTCTTAATTGGACAACCTCCCTTTTTCTTTGGTGGTTTCCATGCAATAGTAATAGAAGTGTCTGTAACTCTCCCAACATCCAGGTTCTCTGGTGGTCCAGGTGGAGCTGTAAAATAACAGTTTGTATATTAGCAATTAATTGAGAGCAGCTTAGCTCAGTCGGTTAACCAGGTTGTAGCCACTGTGTATGCGCTGAACATTGGCTACCAACTTTGTTGATGTTACATGATTAAAGTGATATTACATAATTTGATGATGTTACATAAATGGTGATGTTGCAGGATATCTTCAGTGATGTTTCATGATGACTTTGGCGATGTTACATAACTTTGTTGATGTTAAACGATGAACCTATTATGGTTAAAAGTTCAGTGGTATTACATGATGAATCCCATAATGTTATATAACTTTGGTTTTTGCATGACTCTAGCGATGTTACATGATGACTTTAGTGATATTGATTACTTTTGTGAATTCATGTGTCACATGACACTATGTCCTTGGCGATATGAACATGAAGACATTAGATTGTTTACTTACATAAAATATCTACAGTAAATGTTACACTGTCATCACCGACATCATTGCCAACAACTACCTTGTAGTCTCCAGCATCATCTGGTGCAGCTTCCCTCGCAGTAAACATGACATAGTCATCAAAAACTACCTGCTTTATACGTGCATCCGCTTAAATAACACAAAATTAAATCAACAAATAAATACATGTAATAATTTTATATAAAATCTCATGTTGATGATGGTATTTTATGAAAACATGACAAAAATATCGATAATGGTATCTATTTTATAGTAATTCAATTCATTATTTATAAAATAAATTGAATATACCTTCTACTGGTTCTCCATCTTTGAACCAACGGGCATTAATTTTGCCTTTTCCATCAAATAGAACTTTAACCTTAAATGGAGATCCAGCTTCAACTTGGACATCACGGGGAGGTCCAGCTATTTTTGGTGGAACTGGAAAAGAATACGTAAAAGAAATTGAGAGACTGAAGCCAAAAAAAAAATTCTCTTTGTTATACTGTACAAACTTTAATATGACAATGTTTATGATGATAATGATGACGGTGACGATGATAACAAGGATGATGATGATATTATATATAATGATATTAATAATAAAAATGGGGGCCTACCTTCTACATTTAGTTTTGCTGAACATTTTTCCCTGCCGTTTCTATTTGAGATTTCACAAGTTATCTCTGATTTGTCAGATTCCTGGACATCATCCAATACCAATGTAAATGTGTTGTCATTTTCTCTCATGTGTACACGGTAACCAGAGTATAATTCAATACCATTTTTGTACCTGCAATTTTCAATAACAAAAACCACAAAAGTAGTAAAATCAGTGGTGGCACCAGCAAGGTGCGGGGGCAAGGAAGGACGTTTACTCACCCCTCACGCCCCAATTGGACAGGCTTGGACCCCACCCGTCATCTGACACCCCAACTTTGGGACCAAAAATAATAATTTGCCTATCCAAATCCAAATAGTGTGGTCTAAAACCACAATTTGGGCCATACCAAGACATAAAACTCGCCCTGTTAACCCTAGTAACAATTTTTATTCAGGAACCCTGACTGATGCTCTAATCAGCAAATTTTTGGACCCAACACTGAATAAAATATCATAAGAATTTTAAATAATTACAACAACAGCAATATCCAAAATTGTATTTTTAATACAATTTGATAATTTAGATACAGTACATTTGTAGCATCAAATTAAATGGAGAACCAATAGTTAACTATCAATCGTGTAAAATGAAAATATCAACAAATAATATCAATAATGATATATTGAATAGAAAATGACATAAATTTATTATTACCATTTAACTTGAGGCATTGGTTTGCCGACCACTTTGCATTCAAATTTGGCTGTTTCTCCCTCTGGTACTGATGTATCATCAATTGGTTTATCAAAATAAGGTGCTGATCCAACTGTTGGAAATAACAACAACTTACATAATTTAAAACTTTTCATACAAAATAACCATGCCCATGTATAGGCACATCACATAGATTTGTCATATAAAACTATTTTAGGTTGCAACCCACTTTCTGATATCCCACTGCTATTGCATAGTTAGCAGTACTCACAAATAGTTTATAAATTCTATACAAATTTAAATAATTTATATAGTACTGTATATTTGTGGAAGCGGTCTGGCACAGAGGGAACGGTTTAGTTTCCCAAGCTCGAGGTTGGGGGTTTCAATCGCTTGCTGTGCACCTCGGTTGTGTCAGTCAGCAAGGCACTTCATCTGCATTGCTTCTCTCCACCGAGGAGTATAAATGGGTACCTAGGTAGTAGTAGGGTTGCCTGCTACTGTGCCAATATGGTCGCACTTAAACATGTGGACACAATGACCAGGGAATACAAAATGCTTTGTAACCTAAAGGAAATGTTTACTATACAAATACCAAGTAACAAACAAGCAAATATATAAAACAAATAAATAAAAAAAAAATTAAAATTTAAAAAAAATAATAAATAAATAAATCAATCAATCAATCAAATATGATATACAAACCTACTGCTGCCTTGGGGACAACAGGTTGGCTTGCCTTACTTGGCTCACCAACTCCAGCTTCATTCTGAGCTCTTACTCTAAACTCATACTGTCTGCCTTGAGTGAGGTCATCAACTGTAAAGTGACAATCCTTGACAGGGTATTTGTTAGCTTTCACCCAATCACTAGAGTCATCTGGCTTCAACTCAACAACATAACCTAATATTAAAACAGTACAAGTATATAAATATTAACAACTATGCTTATAATAAAATCAATTAAAGTAACTATTTTATGTGTACAGTTGCAGGACTGTAAAAGATAATAGTTAACAGCAACATTTAAGGGTAATAATCATAATGAAAATCTTAATTATATCCAAACTAATAATGTAACATAGTCATTTTTTTTTTAAATATGAAATGCACACTTCACCAGACCTCTTCTGTCAAGTGTCAAAGTTCAAATTAAATAATGCTACAGGTAGCTCACCAGTGATTCTACTGCCTCCATCAGACACTGGTTTGGTCCAGTTCAGTTCAACTGTCGTCTGTGTCACCTGGCCAATTTGAGGCGTTCCTGGTTTACCAGGAGGAACTGAAAACAAGAATCAAAACATAATGTCAAATGATGTTCTAGTTTAGTAGTTAAACTGGGTTCAAACCCTGGATTTTTATATAGTTGTTATTTTTTGATGTAGAATAATTAATTATAACATAAATGTATACAAAACTAGTCTTAAAATTCATGATAAAATGAAATAAGATATAAATTACACACTTCTATTCCAATAGTGTTTATACACAATAAAATCTTTAATTCTTCCATTTTTGTTATGTGCCTTCTAGGATAGCTTTTTAGGATATTAAAAATGTTCATAAAGACAAGTAGTTTTAATAAGATATTGTACCATTCAGTTTTCTCCTAGTTTTTATTTCTTTAGAGAGCCAGGGGTCCCAAGTTGGAAGAAGTAATTTCCAGATCCGTTTAAAGGAGCTTTCTTAGCACATCTAATATTTTTTTGCTGCTTATAGTGATACTAACATGCATGAGACAAATGAAAATAAAGGAGTAATATACAGTAGTAGTCAAAACATGCAGAATTAATTAATTCAAGAGAGATGGGTTATTTTCCAGGTGATTCTTGTTCAGTTTGCAGGAGGCTGTTTTGATTTCCGGAGAATCCTGCGACTTAAGGGAGACTCGAGATCAAAGGAGAACAGTCAAACTCACCGCAGGCAGACTTGGGAAAGACAGCATCAGATGAGGCACTGGGTTGACTCAAGCCTGCTGCATTCTTAGCACGTACTCTGAACTCATACTCAGCATTCTCATCAAGACTACCAACACTGAATGAACATTCCTTCACTGGGTAGATATTGCACTAGAAACAAACATCATTAAATAATAATAAATACAGTAACCATATCTTTGCAAGGGTAGAGGTTATTATATTACAAAAATAAAATAATTTATATGCCATTTTAGACATATCTTAAGCTCTGTTTACATTATCAAATTTTATGTGACAAATAAATGTGATATACACATATATGCTATCAGTGAGCACCTTAACTCAGAGATAGCAGCTCAGTCGATCAAACTGGTGGTAGCCACGTCCTGTGTGTTCGCTGAACCATGGAGACCTCTTGATAGTGTGGACCAACAGAGCATTATATTAATTTCATTTCTCAACCACTGTACTGTTCATTTTTGGTCAAAATGAACTCCAAACTTTTTGAAAAAAATTTAAGAGGTAGCAATTTTTTTGTACCTGTGACCAATCTGAATCGTTTTTGCGAGACTCTACAATGTAGCCGGTAATCTTACTACCACCATCTGACGCCGGGGCTTTCCATGCCAATTTCACATAGCCTTTATCAACATCCTCTACCTCTGGCTTACCAGGCTTATCAGCAATATCTATAATATTAAGTAATTATTATCATTTTATAATAAAATAATATTATTGTACTATGTATTTACAAGAATATAAATGCGCATCAAGAATTTAAATTAAAACATAAAATCTGCTCAATCAAGTCGATTATTTTCAAGATTGCTTAATAGTTATAATACTAAGTTATTCATGTTAAATTGAAATTAGTATTTTACATAGGTAGTTTTAGCCGCACAACGTTAACTTTAACTTTAACGTTAGTACCCAACATGCAATGTGATAGCTCTGCCCCTTTTGTAAACAAATTGAAATAAGCATGTGCAAACCCGTAACTAACGTACAGTACGTTGAGCATGTAAAATCCTAAAATTAATGTACTCTGCAACGCAACATAAATAAATTATGACGTCATCCATTTAACGTTAAGGAAAAAACGAAAAACATGGAAAACAAAATAAACTAATCGTTTCCTTATTTGAACTTGAAAGGGATAAGTTAGTTAGCTGTAAATTTTTGCTTGCTTGCAAGAGTAAAAATCATCATGTCCATTTCTGATTCATGGGGATATATTTGCATATAACCAATGCAACATTTTGGTTGCGTTTTGGTCTCTCAACCTTGTGCACTTGAACATGGCATACCTATTTTGTCTCTCTCCACCTAGAAGTATAAATGGTACCTGGTAGTTTGATGTGGCATTGAATGTATTAGTCTGTATTAGCATTAAATTGCAAGCACAACTAGGAATACCCCCAGGGATGTGAGACGGTTGTACTTTGTGCTGGTTTGATTATGGATCCAATGATCAGGGGTAATAATAACATCGCAAGCGCCTTGTATCGCTTAGCAAAAGGTATGTATAAATCCCTATATTATTATTATTATTATTATTATTATTACTAACATACCGTAGGGATTCTTGGCTGTGACCGACACAGCTTTTACAAGCGGTTCACTGACACCAAACTCATTTTCAGCTGCCACTCGGAAATTATATGACACACCCTCTTCTAATCCAGTCACTTCGTAGTTGGGACTACGAACAAAACTGCTGACCTTGGTCCAGACACCTGAACCCTCCTCACTTTTCTCTACAACGTAGTTGCTTACGTCGGTTCCACCATCATCCTTTGGAGGTTTCCATGACAACTTGACTGACTCAGCCGTTATGTCAGAAGCCTCCAAAGGACCTTCTGGTGAGCTTGGTTTATCTGAAAGAATGATAATATGATGATACTGTATTGTTTATTATTCAAGTTTCATAAAGTCAACCACCCTTCCGTGTAGTTAAACTGTAGTTTGATGATAAGATGCTTATCTCCCAATATCAGATTCTGGCTTAAGATCTTGTTAAGGTTATTCCTCATGATTTCATAAACTCCATTTTCTAAGCCTTACAATTGCTCCTCTGGGGTTTTCCCTCTTTAGAGGCATTGACAAGTAACGATCCAGTTCCAGATCATAAACACAGACAGTGTATCTTTAAAAAAGAAATTTTAAAAACTTACCAAATACAGTAACCCTAACTGCTACAGAATCTTCTCCTTTCGGGTTTTTCAAGGTGACGGTATATTTGCCTGTGTCATCACGACGTGCGTTTGTATTAATCAGTACAGTCTCTTCTGGGTTAGTCTCAAATTTGATCCTTGCGGAAGCCTCTACAGCTGTTTTTCCCTTATCATCATTTGTCCATGTGACAGTTGGAACTGGACTGCATGTAAATGGAATTTCGATACGGTACTGCTCTCCAGCCCGAGCTCTGATCTCCTTGAAACGGGCATCACTGGGGACTCGTGGCTTAGCTGCCAAGATAAGATGATCCATGATCAAAAATCAATAAATATATTTGTCCATGTTTTTCTCATTAATTTTTTTCGGAAATACAATATTTTTATTTATCTGTAATTTAAAAATACAGTAACAATAACCCACGGCAGCCGCAGTGCAGCGCCACCGAACTTTCTAACTACTTTTTAACCGTACAATAAATGCATCTAATATGAAATCAAATACTGCACATATATAATATTTTTTATTATAGATAAAAATGTTTATGATGAATATTTAAACTGTGTTCTTACTTGCAGGGGGAGCAGCAGTGATGGCAGCAGACGTCTCGCTAGGCTTTCCATCTCCAGCTTTGTTCTGTGCTTTTACTCTGAATTCATACTCTTTGCCTTCTGTCAGTTTACTAACAGTAAATGAGGTGTCACGAATTGGAGCTCTGAAATAAACAATATTAAATTGGAGCTTTGAAATAATCAAATAGGAGCTTTGAAACAGTATTAAATTGGAATTTTGAAATAAACCATATCATCTACAGTTTACGGAATTCACAGTTTACACCCATACACTGGATGGATTGATGGATGAAAAAAAAAGAATCGATGAGTAAATGGAGAGATGAATTGGAGTATATTTATTCCCTTTAATTGAACAAAATAAAGAAAAACATGCAACGGAAGGGATAAGACAAAGAAGGTTCCCACAACTGTAGGGTTTCATCTTCCTCAAAATGGATGGATAAAAGATACAGCTTTAAAGATGAATAGTTTGATATATAAGTGGAGTGTACATAGCATAAACATTTTTTTTACCTGCTTGCTGGGGCCCAGCGGCTTGCGCCAGCCTCTCTTTTCTCTACAACGTAGCCAGTGATTGGGCTACCACCATCACTTTTAGGTGGTGTCCACGAGATGGTGATGGCAGTTTTATCAGTATCTTTGGCAACTGGGGTTCCAGGTGCTCCTGGTGCATCTATGAACAGTAATACAAAGTCAACAGTAACAATGCTATCTCCTATTCCATTTAGAAGCTACTGTATATTAGAAACTGAAACTTAAGTTGCACTACATCCTGATTTACTTTTGAATTTCATTATCAATTCAAGAAAGAAACTATCAATTACATTTTACCAAGGAACTTATATAGGAGAATGACCCTTTGCACAGTTTGCATTGAAACTGATGGAACATTCACCCTCTAAAGAGCATGAGACTATTTGATGGAGTGTAGAAACTAACAGGAGACAAGCAAACTTGAGAGAGATCATAATATCCATTGTGATATTGCGATGTCATCTCTGTTCTGGTTCTAAAAAGTTTTGTAGTCCCTTGACCCAACAGCAGTGGCCTTCGTGCCACCACAGGGTCTGGGAATTTCATGTTATACTCACCGAATGGGTTTTTAGCTACTACAGATTCTGTTTTCAGCGGTTCACTCTCGCCAAATGAATTTTCTGCCTTCACACGGAATTCATATTCAGTGCCTTCGTCTAATTTACGCACTTTGAAGGTAGTTCCAGGGACAAAACCGCTCACTTTCTCCCAGTTATCTGCAGCAACAGGTTTCTTCTCCACAACATAGTTGTCAACATCTTCTTTACCATGGGTTGGCGGCTTCCAGCTGAGAGTGACTGTATCAGGGCCAACATCACTGATCTCAACAGGTCCTTCAGGTGCATCAGGGACGCCTTGTTAAAAAAACAATTTACATATTTTTTGTTCATTTCGATTAATTCATTTATTAACAGAGCTCCAGTGGCAGAATACCATAGAGTATGAGTCAAAAATAAAGTATTGGGTTTCAACAAACTTTACAGTAATCACTCCTTAATCATGCCTTAATATCAGTATAACAATAAAAATAATGCTGAAACACTGACGACATCATGGGTATATTTACCGAATACAGTCACTTTAACTCTGGCACTGTCAGAACCTGAAGGATTTTTGAGTGACACCGTATAGCGGCCAGCATCACACCTCTTTGCCTTTTCCACTACAAACTTGGTCTCGGTGCTTGTGTTCGTGATCGTCTTCCTGCTGCCGTCTTCTGTCACATTTTTGCCATCAAGACTCCATTGGATCACTGGCAAAGGTATACCAGTGAATTTCAGACACATTTTAAAAGGTTCTCCAACTTTGACCTTAATGTCAGTGAGTTCTCCAATGTCAAGCTGGGGTGCCTCTGTAAAGAAAATAATGAATGAGGATTTAAAAATTGATTATAACCCATCTACATTTTTTAAAATCCTGAGCTCTCACTGCCTAGAATGAAATTTGTTGCCAATATTAAAATGAGACATGGATGCTAAATGTCAACTTGTACTAGACAAGTGATTGTTAAGATACTTCTTTTTATTCCAGTACGGTGACACACCCGGATCCCATTCTCACCACTAAAAACAACTCCATTTATTTGGCTAAAGTACTTGCTGTGTAAAAGTAACAACAGATACCATTTTATATATTTAAAAAACATTATGCAACATTAACACAACATATTAACAATTATTAAACAATATAAACCATTAACAACATAAAGTGAAATAAGCATTGTACCTGGATGATCTTCGGCAGTAATCACACCAGTTGATTTGCTGGGTTTGCCCAAACCTTTTTGATTCTTTGCCAAGACACGGAATTCATACTGCTCCCCTTCGACGAGATCTGGTACAATCGCTGAATTTTCAGTTGCTGGGACTACAACAGCCTATGGAGGGTGATGAAAAACATGCATGTATTGTATTGTAAGCATTTTTTACATTCAATAAATACAGTAAGCAGTATACGGAATCTTCTGAGTCACTGTAGCTTAAAAGTTATTATTATTATAATTATTTTTATTATTGTTATTATTATTATTATTTATTGATATAAATCACAATTATCATGTACTTTTATCATTATTATCATTTTATAAAAAATAAATAGTTATACACTGTGAGTCATATACTGACCTCTTGCCACTCATCCTTTGTGCCAGGTTTCTTTTTCTCCACGACATAATCAGTAATCTTAGCTCCACCATCAGACATTGGTGTTGTCCAATTAACTTTTGCAGAATTTTTACGAATCTTGGAAAGGGTTGGTTTACCAGGTGCATCAGCAGTTTCTGAGTAAATAATTAAAAAAAAATACTTTTATGCAAATTTTATAAATGAAATCAGAGTATCACAGGAGCCCCAGAAAGCAAAAGGGAAGAGGCATACCAGAAACAACCTCAAGAACTGTTGAGAATAAAAGGAATGTGCTTGGCAGCACAGACAGCAATATTCAAATACAGAAGGAAGTAAAAGAGTATTACTGGGCAAACTCACAATCTAGAAAAGAGGAGCCATCATGATCACGATGCCCTTTACAAGCAATCATACCTAAGATTATGATTTCATGACCTATTTTTTAACCTAGAATCATATTAAAGAAAAAAAGTAACTTCATGTCAATAAATGTTTTTCACAGATGTGATACTGAAGCTCAATTTTATTAACTCCTTATGGATTTATGTATATCTTGAATTTGTGAGAGCATGTCACAATTTTGTTCTGGATTTGTAATTGGTATCGAAGACTTACCAATTGGATCTTCAGCTACTACAGGTGCTGAGGCCCGACTTGGTTTTCCAAGGCCAGCCTCATTCTCTGCAGTAACACGGAACTCATACTCTTTTCCTTCACTTAAGCCGGGAATTGTCAGCTGGTTGTCCTTCAACGGAAAATTGTTTGCTTTGAGCCATTTATTACTCTCTGGTTCTTTGTATTCTACAAGGTAGCCTGTCACTGGGCTGCCGCCATCATTCTCTGGAGGAGTCCAAGCAACTGTAGCAGAGCTTTTGGTCATTTCTTCAACAACAGGAACACTGGGAGATCCTGGCTCATCTAAAGTGTTTCAATCAATCAAAAAGGTGATGAAGGTGCAACAAGGTTATCTTGACTGTGTTTTGACCAACAAGATTTAAGACATATTTTACGGCACAGGGTTGAAATATTCTAATAGTGGTCTATTTACCAGGAAAAACATAGCCTTGTCAAAAAGTCAATCTCCTTAAAGGGTATTTTACATGTAATTTTAATAATAAAATAAAGGCAGAGAGACAAGTAATATCAATAATGAAATATACACTCAGAATACCTTATGATAGATGCATGGACAATATAATTTTATCATATTACTATACTATTATCTACTTTTTTGTACATGCTCAAATTACTAGATGGACCATCCTCACAAGAAAATTATTGAAATAAATAAATACATTTTCAATGATTATTTCAAAAAATTACCAAATGGAAGTTTGACTGTAACCGGTCTGCCTTCAAGAGGTGGGCCAGTTCCGCACTGGTTACTTGCTGAAACACGGAACTTGTAGTTCTGGTGCTCAATGAGGTCATGAACTGTGTAGTTGGTGGAGTGTACACTGCTGGTTACTAAAGACCAGTGGTCACGACCTGCTTCAGTTGCTTCGACCATGTATCCAGTGATGGGGCAGCCACCATCATCCTCAGGTTCCTCCCACGACAACCTGACGGTTGATTTTGTGTGTTCAGAGTACTCGATTGGTCCTCTTGGTGCTGTTGGCTTGTCTTTTAAAAAAAATGATTGCAAAGATTGTCAAAATTGAAATTGTTGAGTTAACCTAACTTAAAAACATAATACCTGAAGAAGTGCAATGTGTGCACGAAAGCTTGTGTACTGTCAAATAAACTAGTCATAAAAGTACTGAATATCCTGAGTTTTATTTTCTATATATTAGACTAGTACGGCTCATCTATTCTTTAGGAAGTATTCATAAAGTAGACAAAACTACTGCAAAATTTGATCACAGATAAGGGGCCAAAAAGTTTGATATGATAAAGGAAAATTAATTGATTGGCAAGCCTTTGCCTATTCCTACATGGAATATCCTAATGAAAGCACTGCAATGATTGGATAACGATGTATCTGTAAGACCGGACTTATACCCCTTATGGCACAAAAAATTATCCCTTTGTGATCATAAATGGTCTTGATATTGCATCATGACAAGAGGCAGAAACATTAACAACATTTCTTAAATAAATTTAATGTTCAATTTACTTGAAAGGTTATAAGATGATGATTAATACTATTATTTCAAAGAATGGACTTAAAATTCATACTTGTGTCTTGCAAAGCTGGTTTATATGGACATATGTGTTAAGTTGTTGGGCGATCGAACAATATTATATATAATCAATATTAGTAATAGGGAGGAAAGTTTTTGCCATGAAGAACATTCCTGCTCCTTGCAAGGATGATCTCAGAAGTATTTAATTGAAATTTGAAAGCTTAAAACTAAAATTTAAGCCCCCTCACCTATAACTGTGACTTTGACATTGACTGAATCAGATCCTCTGTTGTTCTCCAGATTAATCTTGTAATTACCACTGTCACCTCTCTCAGCTTTCTTGTTATAGATAACTGTGTCTGTCTCACTGGTTTCAACAGACACACGATCAGACTGTTTTAGTTCACGGTTATCTTTGTACCATGTAGCCGTTGGTGGCGGGCTTCCAACAAATGGAACTTTAAAGTCAAATGATTCTCCTGCTCGTACTCTGATCTCCTTGGCAGGCAATCGGTTAGTGTCAACCTTGGGCTTTTCTAAAATTTAGAAATAAAATTACAAGAATGGTGAACATAAATTTGTGTGAATCTTAACCTTGTTGCTGCTTTTTGTCTAAACCAGAAATGACTAAATTATGAAAGATTTAGATTAAAATTAATTTTGAAAACAAACATATAGACAAATAAATACAACACAGCATGATGTTCACAAGTACAGTGAAGTTTTTGTCTCTTCGGAAAAAAGAAACAAAAACTTCTTTTTATGCGCTGTACATGCTCCAGTGTTAGACACAAAATGTATTTGTTTTTTAGCATATGTTTAACCATTGTAGTCAAAGGTAAACCTAGGCCTACAAATTAGGTTTATCCTGCCTAAATTTTTATGTTTTTGACTAATAATTCAACATTTCATGCATGTGTATAGGTTTAGTCCAAGCTATATTGCTAAGCTTAGGTAGGTCTTATCTAGCCGATCACAATGATTTCAACACCGTACACATGTCATCTGAGAACCCTCTGAGAGTTTATTTCTGTTCGTGAAGCAGAAAAATTTATTTTCCTTGGTTTGTGCGCTTTGGCTAATTAGCTAAGTTAACTAAACAATGTAGTTTTACTTTAAAAATTAGTTAAAAAGGTAGAGTTTGATTTACATAATCAAAATGTCAAGAAAAAAAAAATTAGAAAAATTATGATATTTTTTTTAAAGATTTGTGTCACCTTGTGGTGTTGGTGACAAAATAGGCACTAAATTATAGGATGTAAATTATTTGGAATGCATTGGTCAGTGCTAAAAATACATGCTCAGGAGCTGCACAAAGGATGTTTCACATTATGCAACTTCTAAATAAACAAGCATACAATTTTAGAAACACAATAAAGCTTAAGGACTTACCGAATTGAGGCTTTGCTGTGACAACATCAGATTCTTCGCTAGGTTTGCTCAAGCCCGCCCTGTTCTCTGCAACTACCCTGAATTGGTATTTCTTACCCTCTATGAGTCCTTTAGCAGTCATTTTATTTCCCATGACTGGACTTTTATTAACCTTGACCCAGCGGTTGCCATGTGGTTCTTTTCTTTCGACAGTGTAGCCAAAGATTTTGTCCCCTCCATCGGATTTTGGAGATGCCCATTCCAGGTCTACATGATCACGATCATAAGCCACAATCTTGGGCTTACCAGGAGCATCGGGCTCATCTAGAAGACACAAGTTACATAATAATAATATTAGGGATATTTGTATAGCGCTGGTATCTGCCAAACCTGACACTCATGCCGCTTGATGCGTGAACGTATCTCGTTCAGTAACTTCCTGCACTCCTAAGGGTCTCTTTGTGTCTTAGCTACCCGGAAAACCGGTACCAGCTACTTTTGTCTCCCACCACAGGAGCTGTATGGACCAGCACACCAGAGGTATACTCATCTCAAATGATGTACTGGGTTCTTTACAGTGCACACAAGCCTATTGTGTACATAAATCAGCAGTAATTTAGGTAGTCTGTATGACAGTTACACTTACCTGGAAAAATCAAGTATTCCTATTGTACCTGAACACCCCAAGAAAAAAGAATGGTAATGTGGTGCCCTGAAATGGATGAACCCATTTTTTTTTGTGGGGATGTTCATTTAAAGGAAAAATGGCAATAGTCAGAGAGACTCATAACATAAGATTTGTTATTATTTTGTCATATTTGAAAATATTTTACTTAAGTTACATCAGATGGTAACAGACAACATACAATCCCTGATCAGACATAATAGAGCTTTGTCTGGCTTCCATTTCTGTAAATCTATTTATTACCATAAATAGAAAACAGTTCGAAATAAAGGGGGCCCACAGATTGAGGGTCTAGACCACCTTAGCCCCCAATGGTTGTGGCAATAAAACTATGGCACCTGTAGATGGCCAGAAATGGCACTCTCAGACCTAAATTTGAATATAATTTTCTTTTTGTCTCCATTTTAAAGAATAATTTTGAAAAATTTAGTGGGGGTGGGGAGAGGGTGGCCTCCCATGAATCTGCAACTGGTTTAAAATATATTTTTTAAATATTGTTACTCGATTTTAAATTAAATTAGAAAACAATGTTGTTGCCACCTACCATAGGGGTTCTTTGCAATAATTTCAGATGACTCCAATGGGCTGCTGACTCCTCCATGTCCGTTCTCAGCAAAGACACGGAACTTGTAGGCAGAACCTTTCTTCAGCTTGGAAACTGGTAGAGTTGTAGCATTAACATAGCCACTGACTCTCTCCCAGTCACCATCATTATTTTCGCATTTCTCAACAATATAATTTGAGATCTCACTTCCACCATCATCCAGTGGCGGATTCCATGCCAACTTGCAAGTGTTTGCTGTGATTTCTGTGATCTCAATTGGAACTTCTGGTGGCGATGGTTTATCTGAAATAAAAATACATTTTCAACTGCAACAAACATAATGTAATCAGTTGCATGCTCAAAATTTAAAGTATGTAGATTAGTGCATGGGTCCCAAGTCTCCTGCAAGTCACTGGAGTCTCCCGGAAATCGGGACGGCCTCCCACACTCCCGCGACCGGATAAAAACCTCCCAGAAATAACCCATCTCACACAAATTTAATAAATCTGCATGTTTTTACTACTGTATTACCCCTTATTAGTATTGTCTCACAGTGATCAGTGTCAATGGGTATCACCATATTGGTAGTAAAAGGAAAGTAGATGTGCTAAAGAAAGGCTGTTTAAACAGAGTTCCCGGAAATTACTTCTTCCACCTTGGGACCCCTGTTAGTGGTAATACAGTATATATTTAAGATGTTCTTCAAACCTGAAGAATGTTGGTTCAAACCCACAGTTATGTTTGTTTCTGCGGCAGATGGAGATACCAGTGAGAGTCGTACCCTCATAGTATACTTTGTTTTGTTTATAAATTATTATTTATAATATTATTATTATTTATTATAATATTGGGATATACAATACAGAAGCACAGTTGCAGAGGGCACATTAATCCTATTGCTGCAACTTGTCAGATGCATCAGTGACAAACATGAAATTTATCTTTCAAAATTATATAAAGTACTGTACTGGCTAGATTGATTGATTCATTCATTCATTCATTCATTGAATAAGCAATTAAATAAAACTAGTGTCATACCTAGGACATTTATTTTACATTTCTCTGATACAGTTCCTGAATCATTGGATAGGACAAGTTCATAGTCTCCAAAATCATCACGAATGGCATCAGGAACGCACAAGATGGCCTTTGTGTCAGTAGTCTCCAACTTGACATGGTCAGATGGCTTCACTTCCTTGCCATCCTTCTTCCATACGACTGTTGGAGGTGGCTCACCACTAATTGGTACTTCAATTTTGAACTGCTGTCCTGCACGTACTTTCTGATCTCTCATGGCATCTGGATCCACCTCTGGCTTAGCTGTATCAAGAGAATTGAAAATCTTAATAAAAACATTTGCTCAGTGCTAAAGTTGGAAAAATGGTTCCTTGTATGGTTGACATTGTAAGGGGATCTCTCACCAATGAAATGTATATACAATATATATTACAATACATAGTTTATTAAAAATGTATGTTATCTAGTTAATCCCAGACGGCGATCAACTCGTTGAAATCGTATCGATTCCTTCGTTCCATTTGGATGCACTCTGTCTTTCAAATCATAATTTTATCCATCCGTTATTTTACATTTTACCACAAACTGTGGTAGACTCGAAATCTACATCCCCTTGCTGTCTTATTCACGTACTTCTTTTTTTCTTTCTTTTGTGATGTTTGTCTTTAGCTTAAACTTAGTTAAGAGGGAGGCTAATTATTATCCACTAGTCAAATGACCATGTGGCTATCTTGCCTCCCAAGGTAATGGTTGTGTACTGATCTTTCATAAATAAAAAAATAAAAAATCACTCATCAAATTTAGGTTTAACTTTGAATATAGGCACATCAATACTATATATGGGTAAATCATGACTATATATGGGCACATCATGACTATATATGGGCCCATCATGACTATATATGGGCATACAACAGTTTTTTGTCAAAAAAAATTGATAGTCTGGACAGAGCTTTAATCTAAACGAGTTCTCAGTGCTAAGTTGGAATCATCGAGTGAAGGAAAGTGCTTCCTTGTTTTGGTCGACTTTGTGTGCAGACCCTTCATTAATGAAATGTTGTTTATATACTACATATATACATAGCTCATTCAAATGTATGTTTGGTAATCACTCACCAAATTTAGGTTTAACTTTCTGTGAGGTGGATACCTGGCTAGGTTTGCCTGGTCCAGCTTTATTGACGGCACTAACACGGAACTCATACTCTTTTCCCTCTACTACATCCGTTACTTTCATTTTTTCTCCTTTCACTGGTTTGTCTGTAACTTCCACCCAACGTACACTATTCTTTTCCTTGCGTTCAACTATGTAGCCTTCGATAGGGGCGCCACCATCATTCTTAGGCTTAGTCCAAGCCAATTCGATAAAGTCTCGGTCATAGTCAGCTACCTCTGGTGTTCCTGGGGCACCAGGCTCAACTACAGAAAAAAAATGTCTTCAGTCATTGTTCTAAGTAAATTTTTGAAAAGTGATACCACAAGATAAGGGGCACCATATTACAATTTGAATAGACTTCAAAATTCGAACATACATTCTATTGATGCAGCACATGTTTAATACGAACACCTTACTGTACGTTGTTTTGAAGGGCGCCCTGTAGTTTGTGGTATTATTTTCAAGATAGGATTCTGTTTCAAGGAAATCTTGACAGTCGGCCTCTTACAATTCTATTAGTTGTGGGGTTAGGACTAGTGGAGCGAATCGAGTCTCACTTGGCTGGGGGCCGCCTAGGGCCGCCAGTGGGGGTCCAGGGGGCGAAGCCCTCTGGAAGCCACGGATATTATGGCGAATTTTTATTACTTATTTGATAGGCATCGAGTTACTATTATATGATTTCATGTAGGCTATGCTTTCTAATGTTGAAATCAGCTTCCAAAACCAAAACATTTTGAATAAGCAAGAAACAAAGAGTATGCAATGTAACCATCTAATTTATTTCAAATCCTCATTCTTGAAAGTGAAATTCTATATTTTGGAAATTTTGCATGAAATCAACCACGCTGTCATGGTCGAGGTTGCTTCACCTATCACGATGTATTCCAACCATCATGAGGCTATCTAAATGAGCATTTGTCATAACAGAACGCAAATTATTTTTAATTAGTCTCATTGAATTATTATTATTAATATTGTTATTGTTATTGTTGTGATGATGAAAAGTTAACACAAAGAATATGGTGGCTAAACGATTATTACATGTAAATATTTTTTTATTTGTTTGTTCCCCGACAAAATTTATCATCTTCCCCGACGGGGGGGCTATGCTTCCCCGACGGGGGGAGGGGGCAGACCCCCTCTGGCGCCACCATTGAATTCTATACTCTTTGTTGATACTCAATCAATCAACTTCGCTTACAATCACTTGCATATTTATATATGTAAGTTATTGCTTACCATATGGGTTCTTAGCAACAACTGGTTGAATCATGTCCAATGCTTTGCTCACTCCTTGAGCATTTTCAGCTTGTACTCTGAAGGCATACTCAACTCCTTCTACCAACTTAGGAACCTGAAAATATATAGTTTATAAATTTATATCATGATTCTACATTAATCAACCAATCCATCACTCATTCTTGCATTATTATAATCATGACACGTAATAAAAATTATCACTATCATAATCAACATCATGATCATCATGATATTAACACCATCAATATCACCATTATCCTCAAAATGTTACCTTCATACCAAAAATATATAAAGTACATGTGCAATAGCAGGGCACCAGCTGGGACTGATTTTAGATACCCATAATGCTGAGATGTATCTGGGACTGACCCAGGATGTAATCGGACTGTAAAGAGCCGTGAATTTTAAACGCCCGAGAGTAGCCTGGGTTTGGGTGTTACAAAATACAGTAGCTGGCACTTAGAAGTATGAATGATGACCCCCACATTGCCAGACAGTGGCCTAGACATGTACATAACATTTTCATAAAGTTAAATTCCCGGATAAGACCCAGATCCGGAGGAAGGGGAAGGTTCGACATTACAACTGACAAGTGCATCAGATTAAAAACACTGTCATCATTACATCATAATTATTAATTTCAGTATTCAGTATCACTATTATCAGCACCTTCATCCTTTTCTCCAAAATTATTACACTATTTTGTCATCCCCACCATTGATAAAATCTTCATTATAATTATCATCTATAAATGCTCTGCCTGTCAACAGGTAAACCAGATGATAAGTAATCAACTTACCTGGATTGATGTCTCTTGTGTTGTGTCATTGACCACCGACCAATTGGACCTGCGAGTGTCTCTTTTCTCAACAATGTAGTTAGTGATTGGAACACCACCATCATCTGCTGGGGGATTCCATGACAATGTCAAATGGTCAGCAAATACTTTACTTGCTTCCAAAGGCCCTTCGGGTGGCTCAGGTTTATCTGCCGGTGGAAGATACATAAATAAATGCGAAAATAGTAGGACTAAGAGAAGAGCCTCAGAAAAAGGAAATTTTCACCCCAGGCTTTAAGATGGAATCTTCAACCACCATGGTAAAAGGAAATTTTCTAACACACCAGGCTAAGTTGAGAACTTCACACAGCAGGATAAAAGAGAATCTTCAAAGCTAAGAGGGACTTCTCTTTTGCAGACTAAGGCTATATTCATACACACTAGTTAAATGGTTATAGCAGGACCCATATTAATAACATAAGCATTCATGGTAGCGTTCATCAAGAAGATGACAATGAGGTCACTGGCCAATTGGAAGTTGGAAATGCATACAGTACGTCTGATTCGTTAATGACAGAAATGAGGTCAACTTGCTATCTGATAGCGCTCGATAACTGTTAGCGTATCTACTTCCTATTAACGGTTAGCATTAACCGATCGGGCGTTCGCACACGTCTGCTAACGATTAGGGCTAACCATAGCTCCCGATCTGGATACTAAGGCTCTAGTGTAAACCTAACCTAAAAGTGAGGGGGCACTTCTTTGGCACCACCTCTGATACTTGCGGTTATAATGAGTCTTTTTAATAGGCAATGTTGTGCATTATGAAGAAGCTTATCAAATATTAAACATTGGTCCCATCTTCTCTTGACAACAACATTCACTCAATGAACCTGTATATAGCAACATACAACATAGCCAACCATCTCCCTTCACTTACCTAGTACTGTAAGAGTAACAGCAGCAGTTTCTGTTCCAAATGGGTTTGAAACCGACAGCTTGTATTTTCCAGTGTCCTGTCGTTCACAGCTAGCAATGGTTGCGGCAGTCTGGACGCTGTTGGTATTTACACGAACATGGTCATCAGATCGCAACGGTCCATCATCTTTGGTCCAAATGCAAGTTGGCAGAGGACTCCCGCTGAATTTGACTTCAAATTTCACCATGTTACCGGCCTTGATGGTGACATCCTTCAAATCACCAATTTCAAGCGATGGTGGTACTAATAAACCGAACACAAAAAACCCATTGAAAAATTGATCAAGTCTCAAAAATGACTTGTATAAAATTCTCTTACTCAAGTTATATTTAAAGGTGTAGAATATCTGTAGTCACATTTAGAGCTTGAGTAAGTATTTTTTAATAATGACTACATATTAATAGAAGCATAGTAGATGTTAGGCTCAAAGTATGAACGGTATACTAAAATATGCTTTAAGTTGACAATAGAGAAAGATTTTAAACTGTCCCATGCTACATACTTTCAGGATCTTTGGCTACAGTTGGTTGCGATGCCTCACTAGGCTCACTCATTCCAGCTTCGTTCTCAGCCAGCACCCGGAACTCATATTCCTCACCCTCTACCAAGTCAGGAATTGTCATGTTGGTGTCTTTGAGAGGGTATTTGTTGACCCGCTCCCATTCACCAGTCTTGGGGTTCTTCTTTTCTACATAATATCCTTTGACTGGACTGCCTCCATCATCTTCTGGCTTGGTCCAGCTAAGCTCCATTGAGTTCTTGGTAACATCACCAATCTTAAGTTCACTTGGAGGAGTTGCTGGATCTATTGGTAATAAATGTCAATCAATCAATCAAATCAATCAAATAAATGCATTAAATTAACTATTATATCAAATAAAATTTTAATAAATTAACAAACCCTTCATTACCACAACGGAGACACTACAACAATGATAGTTATGATCATAACCATTCAACTTATTTTTAATGTCATAAATATGCCAAAAATGTCATAAATATGTCAAATGTCATAAATATGTCAAATGTCATAAATATGTCAAATGTCAACATTAACCTACCTACCAAGGATCCTTGGCAATAGCTGGTTTGCTTGCTTAACTTGGTTTCAAGACAAATACAATTTTAATAAATTAACAACCCTTCATTACCACAACCCTTCATTACCACAAACCCTACAAAAATGGTAGTTACGATCATAACCATTCAACATATTTTTAATGTCATAAATATGTCAAATGTCGACATTAACCTACCAATAGGTTCCTTGGCAATAGCTGGTTTGCTGGCTTCACTTGGTTCACTTGGGCCTGCTCTATTTACTGCAGCTACACGAAATTCTATCTCACCATCTTGTGGCAGATCCTTCACAAGGAATTCGTTGTCTTTGATAGGCTCTTTATTAACTTTAGTCCATCGCCTTGATCCTGGTTCTTTTTTCTCCAACAGATAACCAAGAATTGGACAGCCACCATCAAATTTAGGAGCATCCCATTTCAAGCCAATGCTACCATCATGACACTCAGTGACAACAGGCGGTGCTGGCGCATCTGGAGGATCTGTAAAAAATGGATTTTAAATACAAATTTTAGTCACACTGTTGAAAGAGGTAAAACTGTAGTTAAATTCTGAACAGTCCATTAACACATGTTGTCGCTCCATATGCAAATTAATTGTCTCTCCATATGTAAATTATTTGCTAGAAGCATTGTATATGCTTCCCTCACTGATATCGGTAAGAATATAATACAATTGTCTGTGTAGCATTCCAAGTAGTAACTACATTTCTAGTAACAAGTTTATTATCTGTAATAAAGTATACAATACTGCCAGATTCTTGTTCTAATTACTCAGTTTAACATATAGCCACAGTACACTGGTTTTGGGATGGCAAGACTTATTTGAATTTGCCCCTGGATACTGGCTAACATCCAGGTACTGTAAGCATTCACATATTCATGTATTGTTCCATGGACAGAATAATGTTCAACTCACCAAATGGCTCCTTGACAACCTGTGACTTGTTTGCATCCTTAGGTTTGCTCTGGCCAACCTTATTGACTGCTGAAACACGGAACTGGTACTCCTTCTTCTCAGTCAGGTTAGGAATCTTCAACTTCGTTCCGGTTTCCTTATCAGATCCAACCAGCCATTCAGTAGAAAATACCTCTTTGTACTCTACTACATAGTGGGAGACCTCACTGCCTCCATTGTCAGCAGGTGGACTCCATCCAACAGTTACAGACTTTTCATCATATGATTCGATGACAACTTCCTTTGGTGGTGCAGGTTTGTCTGGGGGTGAAGGAACAGCAATTACACATAAAACTATATTATGGTATGATTATATTATGATCATTATTGCTTCAAAACACACAAAAAAAATGTTCTAAAATTGTTTTTGATAGATAAAGAAAAAATGTTTATCTAAATAGACTAGGAAATTACCTTTAATAAATGAAATATGTACCATATACATTAATTGAAAACTATCTCACAAAAATAAAATGAAAAAGCAGGCTTTGTGTTTGGGAGTTCTTATATGGACCAATCCATTATATTTTTTGGTGGATTTCTCTAAATTCTCTAATATGACAGATAATCTAGGAAATTATAAAAAAAACCGATGATGTTACCTATTACTGTTGCCTTGAAATTCACTTTCTCTTCTCCATGTGGATTTGTCAGAACCAGTGTGAAGTCTCCAGTGTCTGCCCGTTCAGAGTTCTCTATTAAAATGGATGCATACTCAGGAGCCCATTCCACTTTTATGCGACTGTCAGGCACTACTGGTACACCGTCTTTGAGCCATTGCACCTTTGGAGGAGGTGATCCAAAGATGCTGATGTCAATGGAGATTGGCTTGCCAGCTACAACTTCAATGTCTTTCAATTCCTCAGGAACTTCAGCTCTAGGAGGCTCTGAATTTTAAGTAACAAGAATACCAAGAAAATGCATAATAATAATAATAATAATAACAACAACAACAACATGTATACTACTATCTGACTCCGTTGTTTGCATGATAGTGAAAATGTTCCCTGAATGATGCTGTTGTGACAACAGCGAAAGCTCGGACTCAGACAAACGAAGACTCTGAAAGGTAACATTTTCACTATCAATAATAATAATAATAATAATAATAATAATAATAACAATAACTGTATTTTGGCTTTTTATTTTAGATCACTGGAAAAGAACCAAAAAATAGGATTCTCTTTAATTGTGCCTTGTAACATGTTCTGTCCTGTTTAATACTTTTCAAACCCTATAGTGGAATGATCTTTAATACTATTATACTTCCTTTGTCATTGACAGAATAGCACATACCATTGACTGTAAGAGGGGCAGATGTCAGCGTATCTTCATCCATTCCACAGAGGTACTCCCCTTCATCTTCTGGTTTAAGGTCATGTACAATTAACTTACGAGTCGTTCCATCACTGATGATCTCATACTTATCACTAGGCTGAATGGCTTTGCCATCTTTAGCCCAGAGAACATCAACATCTTTATTTGTGACTGGGGCTTCAAAGACAGCATCCTTGCCTACAAACCCTTCTGCTTGTTTCATTGGTGAAGCAAACTTGGGAGCATCTAAAAAAAAATTCAATTATGAATATGATATGATATCTAGTTTGATTTTGATTTTATTTGTTTGATATCAACTCAACAACAACACAAAAACTGCATAAAACAGAATACAAAGAAACAAAACTGAAAAGAGAATGTAAGTCATCTTTGTCGATATCTTGGATAAGCTCTCTAAATCCCAACACAGGATATATTTCCAGGGGGGTCCCAAACCTCTAGTTACATCTGAAGTGGAAATGGTTTCAATCCTTCACTGTGCATTTCAATTGTGTCCTTGAGCAAAGTACTTTATCTACATCTGCTTCACACTAATTGAAACTGGGCATAAGCTCCAGCCCTGTGGCTTGGCAATGTTTTACCAATTTTCTTATCTAATCAACGGGTGTGGATAATTTTAAAAAAAACATACCTTCAACCTTTAGTTTAGCTACAGACTTTAAGCCTTCAAATTCTGCCAGGTAGTCACCAGCATCTTCCTTCTTAACCTTTTCAATTATAAGACGTCGCTTCAGACCGTCTATTTCCATCCTTATATTGTCACTTTCAGTCAGCGGTTTTCCACCCTTACTCCATTTCATCTTAGTTATGTAATCAGAAACTTCGCACTCCAACACAGCTGATCTTTTCTCTATTACATTCTGGTCCTTTAGAGGTTTTGTGAATTTTGGTTGAGCTATTGGAATTAAAATTTAAAAAAAACTATGATGAGTTTCTTCTATCTATTTTATAATCATTTCCATAAAAAATACATAGCCATTCAATGATAAAGGCTTTGGACCACCCCCCTCACCAAACCCAACAAAGATGGGGCTGAGGTGGTATAGACCTCCATCTGTAAAAGTACCTCCCTGGGCCTCCTCTATTTCAAATTCCTGGACCCGCCACTGATATCATATCAGTTTTATTTTATTGTTAAAACATTTAGAATACAAAGACAAACATGATTAAAAATGAGCATCTAAAATTCCACAATGGAATTGGCAACTGGTGGGAGAAAAAAGGGCCTCCAGTCTCAGAAAGCCACAGGGCCCCCAGCCCCAGCATTACGCCACTGTCCTAGTAATAGAAGCAAGAATATCTTAATATCGTAAGTCTTAATTTTAAAAAGATGTGATTTTAACATGCATAGAAAAGTTGCCAGATTAGAATGTAAAGATGATAGGGGCAATTACCTTTGACCATCAGCATCGCTTTGCTGTCACGACCTTCAACCTCAACCTTGATCTCACCCTGATCTTCAAGGGCAACTTTCTTGATGATCAGGCTGTGTTTTCTTCCTAGTTTCTTTGTTTCATACTTCTTGACATCACGAAATGTCACTTTTTTGCCATTGACATACCAGCTGGAATCAATCCTGTCAGCACTCAACTCAACTGCAAATTTAGCATCTGCACCCTCCTTCACCTCCTGGTTCTTCAGGAGACTCATGAAATCTGCTTTAGGCTTCTTAGCTGTTGGTAAGAAAATAGATTTAGACACTGCATATTCATGAAGTTATGTTAATGAGTTAGTATAGTCAATATATATAATTATGTATATATATATATATATATATAGATATAATTTATCTGAGCTGCACTGATGAGTTCTTCAAGGACGAAACAACGTTGTATGCAGATTGATTTAACTTATATATATATATATATATATTCAATGTAAACTATTAACATAAAACCTTATTGAAGCTGAAGCCACAAATAAATGAATACAATTTTAGTACCCAATTCCTTATTGCCAACCATATAACTTTTTTATTTGAATAAACATACATGACAATTATTGTTAGTTGTGTAAAATAGTGTTACATAGCATTTTAATATTTGTGATTTATCATCAGTATTCTCAGTTTAATAACATTTTTTTAATGAAATAACACCATGATATTTACATGTACTTTGGGTCATTTCTGCTACATTCAATCAATAGTTTTGATTTTTTTTAATTATTGTGTTGTTTTATTTATATTCTCTTACTTTCTTAGTACAAAGAAATGGGTTACAAATGGATCTTGTTATATGGACTGAGAATTGCAGAATGATGAACAGCACAAGTAAACTGAGAAGACAAACAAAGCAGTAGTTCCTACCATCTTTAGGTAACTCTCCGGTAGAAACCAGCTTAGCAAATTCCTGATTGCTCATTGTGGCCAAACAGTGATGCTCTATCGAGTTACCATGGTAACAGCAGAGCAGAAGCAACAAGATGATACACATAGCAAAGCACAGCCAAGCAATATGCAAAAGTGAAGCGACACAAGTTTAAATAAATGATGCGCCATATGTAGATATAATTCAAGATTTAAAGTACTAAGAGGCCTTGTAGCAAAAGCATACCCCTCTTAAGTACTGTGTACTATGGTTTCTCAGGTACAAGTCCACCCTACCCGCTACACCCTGAGCACAAAATTAGGCCAATTTTATTTTTTGGTGGGGGGGAAACAGGAGAGGAGAATAAAAATGTTAGGTTTTTTTCACATAATGGTTGACTCTAAAATTTAATAAATAAGCCTTTGAAACCCCTAAATTGTCATACTTTTGGGAGGAATCGCCCCTGGAGCACTATCCGAAAGATTTTGAGCGAAGTCCGGCCACGCCCACTTAGCTTTCGTCGGGGGAATTTACTTCCCGCCTGTCAGAGACCTTGGGCCCCGTCGATGAAATCATAGCACCACCACTGCATACAAAATTCAAAGCTAAACTGATTGATTTTTGAAATATTTGTAAAAATAAACTATGCCAATCATTCGAATTACATCCTGGGATATTGTATGAAAAAATTCTGGTATGTAAAATTGGGCAGAGTAGGGGACTTGTATCTAAGATGGGCTTATACCCAAAAAAACTATGCATATATGTAAACCATAGAAAGCTAAGTTTAAAATGATATCTTATGTAAAGTAAGATTATAGAAATATAAATTATGAATAGTATGGCAGAAAAGTACAGGTGGAATATTGTTAATTGTGATGAAATTACATATATATAAATATAGTTTATATAATAAAATGTACTAATAATAATGTATATTTCATTCTTGGTCTGAAAGAACATGGAATATAGAAAAATGGGTGCATTTTGTACTTTTTTTATTAATTTTTGTATAAAAGCTAATAATATTATTATTGCTCTTTTATACTCACGGGAAACTGTCAGTTCACACGAAGTGTGAGCTAATTCCTCGAAGGCAACTTCATATTCGCCGCTGTCCTTCATATTCAGGTCCATAATCTCCAGTTCAACGTCGTTCCCGCGTACATACATTTTGTATTTGCGACTGGGATTGATCTGATCACCATTTTTGTACCATTTAGGCTTGACACCCACAAACTTCACACCGCAGTCCATACGTGCACGTCCTTCACGCTCAGATGCCTTCGTATTTTTCAGTGGACGTATGACTTCAGCAAACTATGTTCAGAAATATAAGCCATTTTGTGTTATTAAGATCATTTTGGTGTTATTTCATGTTATAGTAGTATACACTCATTGGTTTCAATCAGCCCCACTATTGTGGAAATTTTAACTGTCATGTGTAGATAATACCACATATCCTATATACAAATTTCATATCTGTGATAATACACAACTATACATTGTGTATATATTAATCTGAAATTACATTTGTGTACATTGTAGACTTTTTCCTAATTCACATTAGCAATAAATTTGTGGCAAAAGCACATAAAATTCTCATTTATTGAATAATAATTTTTTTTTATATTTTATTATTAGACACACCCAACACTCTGGCTCTGGCTAGTCAGCTCGACCTAGCCAAAGGAGGCCTAGCACCATATGCTCACGTGGGACCTCGGATGTACGCCACAAAAAAGGCAGCGTCAAAAAGAATCTGTACAATGTAATAAAAACTAACCCTTTTCTCCTCGCCTTCCACATGCTTCAGTTCACCCCAGTCTGGTGTATCTACTTTTGATTCTCTCCTTTCAACTTCACGATGTTTTAGCAACGACCTGAAGTCAAGCTCACTACTACTGCCTCTATCTATTATGTCAGATTAATATTTTCAACACCAATCAGTAATTAATTAAATCACATACAGTTTAAAATACAATGTGTTGATAACCATTTTAATACAGATTATCGGCAAAATACTATTTAGAAACGGAATAAATTTATCTTGCAAGTAATAAAAACATAATATACTAATAATAATATTAATATTATAAGGCAACAAAGTTTCTGTTACACAACCTGGCTGACAAAATTTTTGGTCAAAAATATTACTCCTTTTTAATAAAGAAAAGCGGGAAACACTTGATCTTGGTCTACCAAGGTCAACCTTGTTTTAAGATTTTAAAAATAATGTGGGAGCAAGAATATGGACACAATTACAAAATCAGTATATGGATGTGATGATGACATCATCATCAAATCATGGATATCTGTCACAGAAAAAATGTGGACAGACCTTTTGTGCATCAAACTGTATACAAATATTTTAAAATTGATTATTGTATTGTAGTTTTTTGAGAGGGCCTGGATCAACCACTGTTGACAAACACTTACCTGAGCAAAATAATATAATGTAAATAAATCTTATACCATGAACAGCACATGTTTCGTTTGATGTTATTATAAAGGTGATTAAGATGTAAATAATTAGGAAACATATCCTCATTAGTAGTAGTGCTTCTTAACATTCAGAAATACTTTTGTAGATCTAAGAACAGATTTGACTTTTTAAAAAAATATACGAAAAACACACAGTGGCGTATCCAGAAGTCTAGAGATCATGAAATTGGTGGGGCTGATGGCTGTCTCTTATACACATCTTGATAATACACAAATATAAGGAATAGTGCATCAACTAAAAACAATATGTGCGGTCCATTGCAATAATATCATATACAAAAATTTGACATATCTTAAGTAGGTCTACAATTATTAACATAACATTACATCAATCATAACCTTAATTAACTAAATTAGGTTGATTAAATTGCACTAAATTAAACAAGCGAGCTCACAAAATTCTGGCCTCAAAAAAACCGCTGGCTGGTTGTCTTTCATAATGAGGTATTGGTATTGAGACATGTGCTACTGTTACCTACTGTTTCAATTTTGATGTACAATGAGAACTTTGAACTTATCATGATGCAAAGACTTTAGACTTGTTCTTTACTTGTCTTAGCCTTTAACATCTCCTTGGTAGAGTGTACACTATGTACAGGGACCGGTATGAATATATTGTGGGGTGTTCTGTGGAGGATCAGGTACAATGTCCTCTAAAACGAACTGTTAACCACCAGGAATCAACGCTATCCAATATCATAGTTTTTACTATCACAGAGAAGATACTTCTAAAATGTTTTCTGTGGCATTCCACACAAAAGAATAATGTGTTTAATACAGATATGAAACTTTTTGACTGCTGAAAGAACAATTACTGGCATTCTTGATGCTTTTGTTCAGTTCCATCCATTTCTATCATCTACACATATACATAATTTGATTTCAGTTGTTAATATTTATGTTTATAAGTTATAAATTATGACTGCCATATAGTGTAAATATGTTTAAATCTGCACTGGAGGGCCACTGGTCCAACCAACCTCTTAAATACACACTATCATAAGAAGTGTTATCTGACACCATTGAGGAGACTATCAAAGATATGCTAGGGCCTCAAATCCAGGAAGAAATTCCTGGAGTTCAGTAAGTTTGGTAAGTATATATTTTGTGATCCTTATTTCATAAAGCTCTGACCCAAATATCAATTTGTTTGTAACAAGAGCATACCGGAAAAAGTTTCCATTCCCGGCATAAATTTGCACACATAATTAATTCAGTATCCCCCCTGGCACACATTTAATGTGAGAGAAGCAATGAAGATAAAGTGCCTTTGGGCGCAAACAAGAGCCAAGCCTGAGACTTGAACCCTGCCCTTTGATTAGAAGCCCTAGCCTACCGCTGCACTATATTCCTTGAAGAATCTAGTGACAGTACTAATTTACTACAATACTACAGTATCTATACAAAAATAGAGTGAAACATTGAAAGGGGAGAATATGAATCAGGCATATGTAGGTGAAACTAATAGATGTACTGTACTTTTCTTGGAAAGGGTTCCATTAACATGTGAAGCAAGAAAATAATGAGAACCAAATATATAGAATATATATATTCGATCAAAATTTAACCTTGTAGAAAATCATATAGTTTTTAGCAGGGATAGCATGCATTTGAGTGTACGACAATGGTTTTAATGGGGACCTTGCACAAACTCTAATCCAAAAAAATGTGCCCACAAATTAACACGATATTGAAAAATTGGTGTGTGAAACTGAAGTCATGGTAACCTTCCACTATACTCTTTTATCTGAAGGACTTTATTTAAAAGAACAAAACAAAACTGGTGTGTGTCCAACTATTTCCTATCTGTGTGACCTAAATTAATTGTGTTCCATGTTGTACATTGCAGATTTCTATGTGTGCACTGTGATATTGAAGATCTTTTCAACCTTGTTCAAGTAGATCAATACTTGACTTTCTGGAGGAACATAGGCTAGACTTCCGAGAACTGGCACCAAATATTGCTGTAATTACAATAGAGTTATAATAAATACATACTGCTCTACATTGTACTAAATCTAATCAAGATTCGACCATGCTGAAAGCATCTTCACCTATCTATTATCATTTAAAAATATACTGTCTCTCATAGAAAATGTACAAACCAAAAAAAAAATTCAATTTATAGCCAGACTCAAGTTTTTTGATAAGTTGTACAAGTGATTTTTCTAAGACACAACAAGCATCTGTAACAAAAAACTTGGGAACAGTCACATTAATGACATACATAATTTTAATATTTAAAAACTTGGCGTAATCACCCCTTTTCCAACTTTCCCCCAGTTTTTAAATATTCATAAATCTGTATCTCATTAACCACTCCCAAGTTTTTTTTTTCCAAACACCATTTTTGTATTTTAGAAAAAAATAAAAAAAAACCATTTCCATCTTTTTTCACCTTTGCAAGAAATACTTCTATGAAAATAAATATTTTTGTGAAGATAATTAAAAGTGCATCAGATATGGATGGTGATAATAGCTGTGCTCAATCAGATAAAAAGTTGGTTTTTTCTGAGTGTCTATAGTCATTTCAAAACCATGAATGTGTGGTATTTATTGGGGTGTTGAAAGGCAATGGTAATTGTTAGAGCTAACCTTAAAAAAAGTGAAAAAAGTGAAAATTATAACCTTGATTATATAATTTGAGTAGTTATACTAAACTGTAAAGTAATAAAGATAGCAGCAAGTTTGTCCAAGTTATTTTAACATTTTCTTCCCATACAAGTGTTATATAGTCAAACATTTTTAATCTGCCAATTTTGAAAAAAATGCAAAAAGTATACCAAGAACAGGATGCAAAAATAATTTGTTTGACTGTAGTTGAAAGTGAGCAGACAATATGGAATGAAAAAGAAATGTTTTTAATGTCAGCTTAAATAAACAAACATTAATTAAAATAACAAAGTTACAGATATTCTTTCTTAAAAAAAATCTTAAATAATCAGTAGTGTGGATAGAGCGTTAAAGACTAAAGCTATTTAGTATGTACATTAGGCAAGACTTTTTTTATACCTTGTTAGCGAACCCGCCACCCGCCAATAATGAAGATTTTGAATAAAAATATGAACTTAATTTTTGTCCAATTAGTAAAACCACCCTCACGAAAAATGAAATTTTCATTTAAAAAAAACAGAAATTTTTCTTTATTTTTATTATGCAGCCGCTGCCTTAAAATCTAAAAAAAAAAAAGATATGTATATTTTCTTCCAAATAATATAAATTTATAGCATTGAACCATACCATTACTACACTTTTTACATTCACCAATAAAATTTTATTTTTATTTTCTCCTCTGTCTGGATGTTTTCTTCCACCCTCCTCTGACGATCTTTAAAAAAATAAGTATGCAAAACAAGGTAACAAAAAAAATCTTGCCTTATTGAGAGTGCTCTGTCATAAAAATTTGATGCACTATTTGCACAAAAGTCTACATATTGATAAATACTGCCAGCCTCTGTCACTTATTAATCTTGTTTGGTGAGTGATGCTAGAAATGTTGCAGTGAGGTAGCTAAGATACTTGCTTTCCAATCATAGGGTACAGAGTTCAAATCTTATGAAGTTAAGAATTTGTTTCATAATTACGAAACAACTCCACTCCTTAAGCTTCACAATAAGACTTGTTATATGGAGCCATACACACCTGCATCTCCTACATGTGAAATGTAAATTTATCGTTGAATGTGATACTTTGTCATTAGGTTTGGATTCAAAAGGTGGGATACATTGCTAAATGTTACATTATGCTAAGTTCAGTAAGACTTTATGGATGGGCTTTGCTACAAATTAATCAGGTTTTTGTGAGCAATATGGAACACTTGAGTGCATAACATTATTTAAGGTAATGGAAAATGTTGCTCTAAAAAATTTATTATCAGAGGGAAGGGGTGACCATAGAAAACCATGTTGGTGCCAAATACTGAAGATTACTGAGAGTGATTGAAAGTAATGGTAAACCTTGTTCAAGTAGATCAGTACTTGACTTTCTAGAGGAACATGGGCTAGACATCCAACAACTTGCATCATTTGTTTCTGTAATTACAATTTGATGATATCAAGAATACTTTCTGAAATATGCTCCTGTTATTTTATTAAAATTAAATATATTCATGTTTTCAGTAAAAACTATTAGAGGTGATTTGATTATAATATTCTTAATATATTAATAATTTGCATAAAAAGTTAATGGAATACAAAAAAATAGTTTCTAATCTATTCCAGAAATACAAAAATATTTAATATATCACATACACTAAAAAATAAGCCCAGAAAAAGACTGGAATTCATAGCATGCACTATATACTTTTTTAAATTGCAGCATTACAGAAACTTAAAGAGGTAAAAAAAGTGCAAGATTAGGTTAAACATTTAGCAAAAGAGACCTAAATGGGTTTTTTTTATCATAACCATAGTTTAAAAAAATCATCATTCCTATAGTAAAAATAGCAAAACCATTGTATTACCACTCAACTAACCTTTGACCGCAGAGGGAGCTAATAAAGAAAATGGATATAACTTTTTTATAAAAAAAGTTTCAGCAAGGTGTTGCAAAAATACTAGAAAAACTTCAGCAACATCAGGAGCATGTTTAAATCTTTGGCTAAATATCCCATCAACAGAATGAGTAACATGTTAAAACTTCAGCAGAATATATTCCATCAACATCACCAACAGATATTACAATAACAACAACATGAGTAACATGTTAAAACTTCAGCAAAATATTCCATCAACATCACCAACAGATATTACAATAACAACAACATGAGTAACATGTTAAAACTTCAGCAAAATATTCCATCAACATCACCAACAGATATTACAATAACAACAACATCAGCAACATGTTAAAACTTCAGCAAAATATTCCATCAACATCACCAACAGATATTACAATAACAACAACATCAGCAACATGTTACAACTTCAGCAAAATTTATCTACAACATTGGCGACACATTAAAAAATCAGTACGACATTATATCAACAGCAATGTGTTAAAACTTAAGCAATTATATTACATCATACAACTTCTTCAAAATGTTATAACTTGAACAAGATATTACATCAACAACATCAGCAACACGTTACAAAATCAGCAAGATAACACATTGACAACTTCAGTAAAATGTTTCAACTTCGACAACATTTATCTATACTGTAAAACCACTTTAAGAGAACAAGCAACATAACATATCTGTAGGCGTTCAACTCAATTTTACGATACATAAAGGTTATCAATTTCATAACAAAGACCATACAACAGAAGGATAAAATTTTTTATTTTAAATACGATAATAATTAAAATTATTGTGAGCAAACCTTACCTGTTACGCTTAATGTGAACATGCGTTCATCTCTACCATTTTCATTTTCCACTCTACAGGTAAAGTGACCGGTAGCATCAACTTTGTTGGCTTTTCTAATCTCCATGATATGAACATCCCTTTGTGCATGATACTTAAGCTGAATAAAATTTTAAAAAACAAGATTTCTTGAATATTTGTCATCCTTTTTATGCTTAAATGGCAACTGGCAAGTGGTGAAAATACAGAATCAGGTAATTTACTTGGAATTCGCTTAAAACAACAATATCAAAATTCACGATAAAAATGTTTAATAAGTATTTGACTTACAAAGTAGCGATCCTTCCAGGCATTCTCGATTTTGGTACCTCCCTTCAACCACGAGACTGTTGGTTTTGGGTTTCCTGCAACTATAGCTTCAAATTGGACCGACTGACCTGTTTTGAAATGTCCAAATACAAGTGTTAGTTTAGTATCCAAAGTTCATTCACAAGTTTAATTAAGTCTCTCATTTTAAATGTTCACAGCAGTGTAGGAATATTGTGTACCGTTATTATTGATTTATATTTAATGTAAAATAATCCTCTGAATGTACATTAATTCATGTTTGTAAGCCTTACAGACAATAAGGTCTTGATGACAATGAAAATAAAACAAGGTGGGAATATGGTAAATTAATGGAAAAAAACCATAAGAAAACCCACTCCAAAAACAAAGACAGATACAAGAGTCACCAAATCACATAGAATTGGAAAATGGCAGCAGGGTGAAATCAAGACATGTCAGCTTCATATAATGTTACATCTCACTGAATCAAATATATGTAAAAAATATATTTAGTAGCATTTTTTTGGCTTGCATCACTTTTTAAAGAGTTATTTTATACTCTCTTTTTACACTAAAGGTAGACACACACTGCACTGACATTACGTTGTCAAGCGCCAACAAAGAGCAAAGATGAATTTTTCAGCCTACAGTCGTACAATGCAATGTGTGCCAGCTTAGCACATTTTTCCTTATTTTTACGAGCTTCAGCACCAACTGATAGGGCTTCATCAGGTGTAGTGAACTACAAAAATCACTACAATACATCTGATGAACAAACTACACATAGCTAAACTTGATGAAGCACCATCCGTTGGAAAGACAGCTAGTAATACAAAAATAAGATGTTGCTACTTAACCTATTTACTACAGATACTAACCAACTTCCACTAAATAATAGGGCTATACATGAATGTAAACTCCTTAATTTTTGTTTTTGAAAATGGCAAATCTTGAGAGTGGATGTAAATAATACAAACTTAATTTTGTGTATGTCTCTAGGGACAAAGTTTTTTTTTTTCCAAATTTGCTGGAGATTTTGATGATATAATACAGTTCTTAGGTTATCATCTTTTATTGTTATGCACTTCTTTGTATTATTATTATGTTATTTATGCTTTAAATAATCTACTGATGATATGTCATTCCACCTGTTTTAACAAAATATTTTAAATGTACATTCATGTTGAATTATTTCCGATATTATATTTAATGTGAATTTTATGGTAAACTAAATAATGGTAAAAGTAAAAAAATAAGATATATCAAAGTGGAAGCAGTTATGTTGATTCAGTGAGATATGACATTTTATGATACACAAGGTTTTAGTGAGGATGATAATTGGATGGAGTAGGGGTAGGGGGTATGGGACATGGTGAGGGCCACTCATGTTACCTTCCGCAACTTGAGTCTTAGTTGGACTCATTTTGAAGCATGGGTTTTGAGTTTCCGATTGATCCCCATTCCTGTTCCGAGTTGGGGATTGCTTTGGTGAGCCTGTTTTTAAGTTGTAAAGGAAGATCATGTAGAAATTTAAAACAATGTAATAAATAGTAAGCATGGTACTGATTCAACCAGTGAATGAAATACAAGATACAGGACCTATAAAAAATATCTATTAGGATTTATAATTTTGAAATCAAAAGAATATTCAGGTACTAAAATTATTATTAGATATAGACACTCATTTTGTAAAAGTTAATTTCAACTCATGATGTTATAATCAAGTTATAATCCCTTTGCCTGTATGTTGATCTCATTCAACAGTTAAATCAATGTCACAGACATGTGCATTGCCCAGGACGATACCTTCAGTCACTTGTGCTTTACATGGACTCTGCAAGAAATATGGTTGTCCTGAATCTTCTAATTCATCAATGGACTTCCTGCTGTATGTATAGCCTTCAAGATGGACAATATATTCATCAACCAGCATCTTACTAACAAATCATTTCATTGGCTGCTTGCACTTTATGTGAATGAAATGGTGTGTACAGAACTTAGGAGCAAACGATGAGAATGACGGTGGTGGTAGTAGTGCCAATGATAATGAATATGTTAATGAAGATGATGATGATGATGATGATGATAATAATGAAAATGATGATGACAATGATGATGAAGATGATGATGATTTCTTATAATGATGCTAATAGGATGTGTACTGTACTAAAAATAATGATAACGGACATGATTTTGTAGACAATAATAAAATGATGAATCTTTGTACTCAAAGTTAGATCAAGTTGAAATTGGAAATTAGACAAATGTATCTATTAATAAAAATATAAGAGCAATCTTAAGCAAATGAAGAAAAGCAATGTAGACTGTTGACCAGCTAGCCAGCATATCTGAATGTAAGAGCATAAATGCACAAAAGAAATCAAATCATATACACTGTAAAATAAACATATAAACTGTCAGAACCAGTAAACAATAAGTCCATTATATTCAGTGAATAGCATTATCTCAAAGAAAGATACCACACCGCTACAAAATACACTTTAAGTGAAACTTACACAAAAAGATTAATTATACTTTAAACTGTTTTTGTATATCTAGCAATTTGTTCTTAGGTGAATTTTTCTATGCTTGTACTTAAAATAAATATACTATAGTAAACACAACACTATAGAAATGAAATTTTTCATTATTAATTGCCAATTATAAATAATCATAAACTGATTTGGAGAAATTAATTCATTTGTAGATTTGACTTTTCACTTGTATTGTGGTAAACAGTGTATGCTGTAATTACACTTTGGAGCAACTGCAAAAGCTTTCTAGGATGTTAGGAAATGCAGTATTTTATAGAGCACAGCAAGCTAAACAAAAATGACAGCATATGCCTTAGCTGGTTTCTATACATCTTCTAATAGCATATTTATGTTCATCCATCATACTTTATAGAATGTGGCTTAAGCATAGAATGCACTATAGCTCCATCAATCTCAAAGATATACCATCTGGTATAAGTGATAAAAAAAAAACCTGTATGACATGCAATTGTCTGTCTAATTGTATCTAATGACAGTAGCAGAATTGGGTGTCAGTTGAATTTGCTTATAAGATTTATACACAGATCAAAAAACAAATGCATTTTCATTGATTTGCAGAACTTTTACTACAGAAATCTTTAAAATAATTACCATCAAATTTAATGGTCTTGGCAAAGAATAGAGGACTTCATTAATTGACATGAGCAATTTTTTCTCTATACCAATTTTCATTTGAATGTTATATTCTTAGCGCATCAGATGGTATATCTTTCTTCACACTCACATTGCCAACTGTACAACCAGTGATGCATGTATGTCAACCTACATAAAGGGATGCTTTACATAATGGGTGGTGCTGCATACAGTAGTACTAACAGCTGATCACAGAGTGTAGAATTCGTATTTATAGACATAGAAGCATGAAATATTTTAATGGTGAGCCAACAAAAAAATATGTTTGAGAGCCGCATTAATAGTCTGTCCACACTGTGAATTTTATGTGAAAATTATCTGTAATTTAACCATATATAAATGTGGTAGTATATATTGAGAGTAGGCTAGGATGTGGGGGTGTGGATCCCCCACCCCAACGGCAGCAAATTAGTTCAACTAAGTGGGTTAAAAATTTAAGTTTTCATTAGAATAGAGATTTAGTTCCGCATTCACAATTGTTGCACCCCTCCCCCAGTTCCACAATCTCAAATTTCATAACCTTCCACCTCCCAGGATGAACCCAGCCTACACCCCTGATTATCACACCAATATATGACAACGATGTCATACTATTCCCATGGCCAAATCACAGGTATATTATACTGTATGTCACATAAAAAGTGATATGCTTGTAACATGTACCCATATATGGATATGTCTTTTCACATCCATATATGGACAAATCACATATATTTAATCACATGAAAAATTGACAGTGTGGACAAAACTTGATCAGATGAAAATGATCAGATTATATGGCCAATGGTATTATGCACAATGAATTCAGCTATTCACACAACACACAGTGAATGGTCACCTCGTCTGGAATCGTTAGACCCTCTGCGTCCAGTTTGGTTGTTCGTCAGTGAAAGGTTATCCATTTTCTCTACATGACGGTAAAATCATGGCACTGATTACGGAACGAGAATTGTTGATGTAAAGACTAGCTTTGAGAAACATGAGGTAATCAATGGACCTTTCCCCAAAACCTACCCCTTGGACATAGTTGAGGTCCCACAAAATGACAGCGTAAACATATGAGATTACCATCCCAAATCCAGCCTACAGTGGCCAAATGATAACTGGGTAATTAACATATTGAAATGCAGCAATATTGCATACTTTAGTACAGAGAAGCTGGAATACTATTACTCATAACTTTGGCAATAGGTCGATTCCAGTAAATGACCTTTATAAGTCAATTTTCTTCTTTTGGTCACTGATGCTTGTTTTGGCATGGCAAGCCCATATGTAAACAGATGTGTTTGTGGTGCAAAATGTCTTGGACAAGCGCATATTCCTGGTCAGGCTTTGAGTGGTCAGTTGTTAGAGTTTGGTTGACAATCCAGAAAAAGGTCCTTACTTTGGAAACCTCATCAGAAAATTGTTTTTGCCTATTGAATGACATTTAATTTCAAACAGAGGTAAGCTAGCTGGGAAGGCTGAGTCTGAATCAAAACAATTGGTGTACATGCATGGGTTTATAAATGCAAGCTAAAGCTTTGCTGGATTTTCATTCTTTGATGAAAAAAAAAATTAAATTTAAAAAATCAATATTGTCAGAACCCTCATTCAGGTACAAGATACATTCAGACATCTATTTCATTTACTTTGTTGTAATGACGTATCTTGCAGAGAAATGTAGCATATATTAACATTGCACTTTAATAAATTGTTATAATGTTGTCTAATCTGTAATAAATTTCTTGCTTTTTCATAAACTTTGTTGAAGAACCATAATTATCAAATAGTTGATTGATATCTTATTTAGACTACATGGTCATATACTTTTATACAAACTGAAGTAAAAATCATCACTGTCTTAGTTGTATAATAACATATATAATCTCCTATACTGTTTTTTCTTGCCTGTTGGACTGTGGATGGACTGATGTGTTAAGTATCTATACCAGTAATCTATAAACATCAAACTTTAAATGTAAATAGTTGACTCTTACCTAATTGTTCTTGCTTGCTTATAGTACCATTTTCAACAGGTTTATCAGTTGGAACTTTGATTTCTGGTACCACCTTCGCTGGTGATCCTTTACCTGGTGATGGGGCTTTTTCTGCAGGTTTTTTATCTACAGGTGCAACCGTCTCCTCTTTTTTACCTGCTGGTGCAGCATCTTTTACACCTGGCGCTGCAGCCTCTTTCGGGCTCACCTTTTTAACCTGTATTGGTTTCTCTTCAGCAGGTGGTGCCGCTTGTTCTTTAGGTGCCGCCGCCTTCTTCTCAACTGGTTTTTCTTCGACAGGTTCTGGTTTTCCTGCGGGTGGCTTTGATTGCTGTTTAGCATCTTTCTTCACTTCAACTGGCTTTTTTTCAACAGGTTCTGGTTTACCTGCGGGTGGTTTTGACTGCTGTCTAGCGTCTTTCTTTGCTTCAACTGGTTCTTCTATTATTTTTTCCAGTTTCTCTTCAGGTTTTTTACTGAAAAATACGAAGATAAATATAACAATAACACAGTCAATAAAATTCAAGTCAAAAAATGCACTTTTGTATCACTTCTTTATAACCAGGAGTTGAAATTTCATATATTCTAGGTTAGCAAATTATAATTTATGTAGATAGTTGTAACACAAATGTAATAGTTCCCAAAAAGAACAAAATGGTTGCAACTACCTATATACATAGTTGCAACACAGTAGTCCCCAACAAGAACAAAATACTTAGGTAAATGTAAAGGTAGGAGAATATTGGCCACTCAACTCACATTGTGTAAAAACCCAGTGACACTGGCAAAGAGGGCCATAACAATTATTAAATTCAGCTCAAACTAGCTTTATTTGAATTTAAACTTACCCAGGTTTAGGTGCTGGTTTTGATAAATCTTTAATAAAAACAGAAAAATAAGTATTAATACCTTGTGAACACGATATTTTGAAATTATCAATGTTATCACTGCCAACATAATCCTTATCGTCAGTTTATCATGATTATCACTACCTGTTCTGTCATCATTGTCTTTATTATCAACTTCACCTTTATCAAAAATATCAAATTTATCATCATCACTATCATGTTATTACTATTATTATACTACTTTATCCTTATCCACCTTCAACATAAACTTCACAAATAGACTTGGCTTCACTGCAGGAGTTTAAACCAATAACACTGTAGTCTCCGCCATCTTCTGGAAACACTTCTTCCATGTACAAGACGTACTCGTCCCCGTCCTCTCTCATCTCGTAATCGGGCGATGGATTTATCTGCTTCCCATCACTAGTAAGATAATTATTTTAATTCTTCATCTTAAAGTAATTAAATAAATTATTATAGGATGATTCATTGACTACTAGAGAAGTACTAGTTGTATATCTTCTGATGTTGAAATTGACTTCCTCTAGTAAAGAATTTACGATACATGAATTTGGCCCTGAAAGAATCTTAAAAGTTACTCTGATTTCAGAGTGTTTTAGAGTGTTTGCAACTGTTGTAATACAAATATTCCAAAATGAGAGTTTATTCACCCTCACAAATACTCGAAAAAAATCTTTAAAAACACAATTTTAAAATCAAAACTTAACGAAGAAGTAAATCTCATGACAGACATCATATCACGTTATTTGAAGTAAACTTTCTATCAAAAAATTACTGTACTGTATGCATTCTTTAAATTTTGAAAAAAAGGAAATTGTCAAAAAAATAAAAAACAATTTTAATTACTTACAGAAACCAATGAACCGCGACAGGTTTTGAGGAAAATTTAACTCGAAGTGTCAAGCTATCACCATCTATAAGGTCCTGAGAATGAAAAGATGAAGAAAAAATGTCAATTCCTTATTTGGTCATCTTCAGAAAGATAATGATGATGGTACTGATAATGATAATGATGGTTATAACAGCAATAATGATGATGTTGATGAATAATAATATCCCGATTATAGGTTTAAATCATTAGTATCATACCATAAATATTGCAGCAGTAATTGAAGGTTAGAACCTCCTAGATACCCATTTATATTCCTGGGTGGAGAGAGACAACCGTAGGGGAAGTGCCTTGCCCAAGAACTAGTTAAGTACACAGCAAGGATCCAAGCCCCTGACCATAAGGTTGAAACTGAATGGACCTTTCCACTTGGCCCCTCCTCCCTGGATATTGTTGTAAACAAAACGGCAGGGTAAATGTACATAAACATGTGCACTTGTGGGACAACATGTGTGGTTGTAGAATACATGACTGTTCCTAGCCCTCTTCTGATTGGTCAATTGTTAAGTTTGGTTGACACTCAGGAACGGTCCATTGAGAACAGCTGCACTATTTGCTCCCACAGTACATACCTGATCCTTTAACTGTTTAACAACAGTTAATTTCTCTTCAATGATCTCAGTCTCTGTCTCAGTCACTGATTCTGAGTAGTCTTCAATGACCTCTTTATGGCTGATGAAGTCAATGTGAAGAGGATTTAAGGTATTCACCTTAACCTTTTTAGGCTTTCCAATTTGCACTAAAAATATTGATAAAATAATAAGAAAAAATCAAATACATTTTATTATAAGATAAATTGAATTGATAACTATTTCTTCAATCACCTCTAAACTTTCAAACTATCTGAACTCTTGCTCTACGTCATCTGTATTAAATGACACAATTTTCAACTCAACTTGTGAAAAAAAACGGGTTTAATTTGAACAATTATCTTGATACAGACCCTTCGCCATATCATATCTGGAGTGGAGTTGAATAGCTTAGTGGTTAAGACATGGGCCTATGAATAAGTTTATAGGTCCATGATTAAGATGCTTGCCTTCCAATCCCAGGTCCTGGGTTCAATTTCCATCACAGTAAGAGGATTTTTCTCACAACTAAAATAATGAGTCTATATAGAGCATCTTGTGTTTATGTTTGTCTAGTGTAGAAATATGCCACTTAGAATAGTAATTAAGTTTGCTGCTTGCCATACCCTTGGCCTATAGTATGGCCTAAACCAATTAACAATAATAAAAAAAAAAACCTTACCCTCAAAGCTAACATTAATAGTGGAAGTTGCCTCTCCTTTCTCATTATCTACAACAATTCTGAAATTTCCGGCATCACTTGGCGTTACACCAGTCATATCCAAAATTAGGATGTGAATTTTTCCCTGAGTTTTTTTCTTAATCTGATACCGACCACCATCTACTATCTTCTTGTTTCCAAAGTACCAGTTGATGTTAGGTGACGGCTCAGCCATGACTTTGACTTCAAATATCAGATGGCGTCCATCATCCTCTTGCTTGATTGTCGGTTTCTCGATGAAGGATGGCGCACCTTCTCTGCTGCCCTTTGTGACTAAAGGATAAGCAATATAATGCAGCATGTTATGGGTTCGTTAGAAGAGAGCAGCTTACCTCTGCTGACTAAGCTGGTGGTAGTTAAAAAAACTTTATCTTTGTCCCCAGTTCAATTACACCAGCTGCTGCTCTCAGAGACAGAGAAGCAGTTGATCTTGTGTGCGTTATGTTATGTGCAAAACACTTTTGAAAATATAAGGGATTGTTTCCAAGTGTACTACCCAACTCACCACCAAAAGGACCTCCCTTGAATATTTTTGAACTTTCGTGGGCTATCGTTGATGTATTTCACACCAAAGAAATCCAAACCAATTTGGACTTTTATTCCCTACTTCAGCTGAAAGAATAGAAAATAATCTTACACTACCAGAGAACAGTGATTTCACTGTTCCCTGATACTACTTACTGTTAAAGTTTAGGTTGATTGTTGAGGTACTGACACCCAGATCATTCTTGGCTTCAATTTTGTAACTACCACCATCATCAGGAGTAACTTTCTTTATGTTCAGTGTCAACACAAACACATTGGCACTCTGCTTGATATTAATCTTAAATCTCCCACCATCCTTAAGTGGTTTGTTGTTGAAAAACCTGCAATAAAATACAAATAATCCTTCCAATACTTTAAGGAATATTCTACAGGAAACACTTAATAACATGAATACAAGTAGAGTGCATCCTCCCCTCTAGTCCAAGACCACAACTCAAGAACACTAAAGTATTTCAAAGAGTTAAATTAATCTATCTAACACTAAGCTAAAGCCTCTATGTGGAAACTGAACCCTCAGAGAACTCCACATTTTTACGTCCCAGAGGTGGTCTTGAATTAGAAGGGAACTGCCATCACTTTTCTCTCAACAAATTATAGAAACTTTTTAATAAAAACATAAATATTTTTATGTAAGTGAATACAAAATAAACTTACCATGCTATACTAGGTTTAGGATCAGCTTTCAAACTTGCTTCGAAGGTGAGCTCATGTCCGTCCTCTGATTGGGTCATAGTGGGCTTGCCCAAGAATGTAGGAGCAGTGCCACTAAAAATGCATGTGGTTTGACATAAATATTTTATTATATCATATATAAAAAATAAATGAAAACACTAATGATATTGCATTATGTGTATTCTTTATAAATTTTGCTATGGATGATTTGTGTTTGCAAAGTAAATCTAAATACATTCATACAGAATGAATGAAGATACTTGCTTTCCAATCCCAGGACAAGAAATTGATTCTGACAATCATTTCCAAATTTTTCTGTAATCAAATCATTTAGCCTGGTTTTCCTTAATACTTCAAAGTCCTCAAAGTTTGTTTTTTTTTGTATTTTATGACTTTTTTATGACTTGGAAACAACATGGATATGTTTCAATTGTACATGGGAACTACAAGTAACAGATTTATATATAGTACTTACGGTGGCGTCTTGTCATTTGGAACATCATCCGCTGCTGTAGAGGGTAAAACAGTCAAAAACTTAATAGCATTTTCTTAAATTATCATAATACTCACCTAATTTTTATCTCTTAAAGTTTAAATATTAAGTTGGATTAAAATAAGAAAATAACAAATTTGGTGACAACAACTATGACTGTTTGATGACTAGGGACTGAAGGAACAAAAAGAAACAAAACCCCAAAACAAAGATTACAGAACAACAAGAATAGGTAGGAAAGGCAATTTAGTTAATATGAATGTCCAAATTAAGTTCAGATTTGCAAGGATAGATATAAAATACAGCATTATTACGGGCACCAAAACTACACAAATTTGGGACAAAAATATTACAGAAAAATACAGAAGGTTATTGGAAAATTGTTTTTAAATAAATCACTCCTATATACATTTGAGTTATTTCAAAAACACTGCAATCTTACTTTCAAAATTTAGATCAATAGTAGATTTGGATTCGCCCAACTTGTTTTTAGCGACAACTTGATATTGCCCGCCATCCTTAGCTGTCACATCCGTGAGAGACAGCATAACAAAATAGTACCCTTCGTCATACTCAACCGTCATCTTATAACGGCCGCCATCCTTAATCTCCTTGCCATCTCGGTACCAGGCCAGCTTTGGCTCAGGGTCAGCAGTCAGCTCGCACAAGAAACTTATCTGGCGTCCGTCTTCTGATTGGTTGATCTTTGGCTTCATAGTAAAAGATGGAGCACCGGTCCCGCCTACAGGGGGTGGTACCGGTGGACTCGTTTGATCAGCTGAACACAATGATAAAAGCACACGTAATGGATAACACATGTACATAGCTTGAGAGAGAAGGTACAGTATTGGCACAGGATCACCATATCAGAGGTATGCGCACAAAGTCATCATACTGAAGTCAATCCATAGCAGCTATGCATCCACAAGTGAGGTGGCATTGTAACATTCACAGAGAAATAAAATTTGATAGTGTACAATAGGGTATATAGTGCATGTAATCAATCAAGTCCATATGTTTTTTTTATTCTCATGCAATAGTCAAATGTGTTAATAATCAACAAATTCCACTAATTTATGATGAAACGAACAAATTAATTGATTTAATAATCAGGGTAATACCAGGAATGTTAAGTATATAGAGAATTTTTTTGGCATTATGTGCTTATAAGACTGACATTATTATAAAAATCAGTAATAAATGTCCCAAGATACAGTCAATCATGACATCATCACTATTATTCGAAATGTTGTTTTCCAATCCAAAACTGTGCACTAATTTTTCATTAGTCCACAATTTTTTCCATGCATTAATCCATTCTATTCGTATAATTATTTCCACTAGTGTATGATATGCAACCATACTAATTGCTTTTAATGTAATTTGGATATTTTCACCAAGAAATTGAATGAGTGTGAAATTATTTTTAGTAGCTCATTTTATACTTGTACTCATCCTCTTGTATGCCTTTATTGGTGATGCAAGTACCTCAGGGTGTGAGGATGTGAGTTTGGATCAGGAATGAAATCTATTCAGTGACATCACAGATGTCCAACTGTGCCAGGTGCAGGGAGAGTTCATGAAGAACAGGTGGATATTACACCTACTGTGCTGTGTGCCCTTCATCCTCAATCCATAGTGTAATGTGTACTCCTTAGTGTCAGACATAACAACAGCATATCATAACATATGTATGCTCTTTGATATTCATGCTTTCTAGTGTATAGGGGTTAGCAGAGTTGTGTATCCAAGGTCAGGCCAGCAAACCCACCACTACCAACCATGTAGTGAAAAAGAATTATAAATAAGTCCAGGAATTGGTAACATTATTTGAGTAAAAACCATCTTTGAAAAAAAACTTGATTATATTAGAGTAAAACTGTAGGCACATACCAAATTGAACTTTGGAAATCTTTTCATTATATACTACATTCACAAGATTGTTATTCTATTTCATACAAACAGATAATATAGGAGACTAAAAATGCCTTAAAGTTGTTCAAGTTACCATTTTAGTACTGGCAATTTGGCAATTAATTGAAACAGGTTTATAGTGAGAATTTAATACACTTTAGGTCTAAGTGGTGGCTGGGCTGCCAAAATCTGATATTTATAATATTACCTGCTTGGGTGTAATCTTGTTCCTGGGCTTAGGTATTATTTTTTACTTGAGTCTAAACAGGAGACGGGTCCACTACAATGGACCTTTCTCGGTTGTCAATCAAACTTAGCAACTGACCTATCAGAACAGGGCCAGGAACATGTGCATTTCTAACAAGGACGTGTTGTTCCACCAACGCACGTGTTTGCGTATGTTTTAATACTGCCATTTTGTGGGGCTTAGCGGAAATGTCCATTGCAGATAGACAGTTGGGAATTGGGAAAGTTCAAGAGGATTTTAAAAAAGGGTCGAACCAAAATGGATGGCACCCACCACCCATAGGACTCCCTGATTACACAAATGCTACCTATATACAGAAAGTTTCCTTTTAAGAAATGTTTCCAAATTATTATATTTGAAGATAATAACGTTTTATTTCAATCTCAAAATCAAGGTTTGAGAACCATTGCAATACGGAATGAATATCAAAGAACAAATATACCAGCTACAAAAATAATAATATATAATAGTTAGGTAAAATTTTCACAACAAATTAAAACATTAAAATGTTTATAAAAAGTGAATATTAATAAGAAAATCTTGTTTTCCATACATAAATCACCAACAAATATCACTGATTACAAAATATTTTTAAACAATTGCAAACACAGCAGTTTAAAAACATAACATTAAAAAATACAGCAAAACAAACCAGAACATTAAGTAAATAAATCAAATGTTTAGGAAAATATACAAATGTATAAACCACAACATATTTATAGATATATGTTTTTTTTTTAATTTATCTATAAAAAATAATATTGGATTCCAGTACTAAGAAACATTTTCAATGAATATACTGTTACTATAGCTTTTAGATAATGTTTACTATTTAATATTTATCAATACATTATATCAAATATAGAGGATTATGAGCCCTAAATCTGTATTTGCAACTATCAATTTACTCAGGTAGCTGATTATATTTTCCATAAGTGTTTCAAATAATTAAATTATGTACTATACTCTTACAGGTATACTGTATATTACTGTAGGCCAACATATTATTTTTATCCGAAAACTTAACATCCCAATTGATTATTGCTGCTAGATCGACTACCTTCATCCAAAAACATGAAATTAGCCTCACTAATCCATAATAAAATCAGACTTACCTGCAAAGTTTAATTTGATTGTATTTGTAGCTGTTCCAAGTTTGTTTGTTGCAATAATTTTATAATCTCCACCATCTACCTCAGTTAGACTGCTAATTTCTAAAGACAAGAAATAATACTCTCCATCTTCATCACATCCTATTTTTAATCGTCCTCCATCTTTCAGTTGTTTATCTCCTAGGTACCACTTGATGTCGGGCCTTGGGACAGCGCACAGTTCACACTCAATCGTTAGTTTAGAGGCATCTTCTGACTGGCTCATTTTTGGTTTCATCGTGAAATTTGGTGCAATTCCATCCATATCCCTAAAAGGAATTGCATTGCAAATTAATTCTTGTTGCTAACATGAAATTGTAATGCTAATTATCTATCCTTTGAAAAAAATAATTGGTTACGAATAAAGCCCTGTGCAGACTATCAAATCTTATTAAACAAAAACATGTGACATGCCTAAATATGGTCATGATGACATCACATCATGACCATATATAGGCAAATGAAAATTTGATAGTCTGGACAAGGCTTTATTCGTAACCAATTATTTTTATCCAAAGGATAATAGAGGATGACTACTTTATGTTTTTGGTAAAACTGTACAAACCGGACTACGTCTATATTTTCTTCTTTTTTTCTTTAATAATAGGTTCCCGGCCATGGATATGCCAATAGCAAACTTCATCACTTTACTAAGTGGCAATCCTTTCACAAGAGAAACATATAAACAAGATGAAAAAATCCTGTTGCCATGACATAAATTGAACCCAGGACCCTGGGATTGGAAGGCAAGCATCTTAACCACCAAGCTATTTAACTACACTCAGACAGCAATTAATTAAACAAGTAAAAATAGTTCACTTAGTTTGAAATACCCAACTTTGGAATTTAGCATGCCTGCCTGTATATAAAATATTTTGTAATGTGATCACCAACATTCCAGCATGTGCACCATGGCATACATGAGTATGCGCTCGGCTGATTATCAAAAGACCAGAAAAAAAAACCCATTACTGTCATTGTTGGTATCTTCTTGTTTTTCAAATGATATTGATACACTGCCCTCGTTATGTCATTGTGAACTACTAAAAAAATGCAGTGACTGATAATTGGTATCCATTGACACAGATATCATTACTAGATGTACACTCACTGGGAAAATATTTTGTATGGTAAATGCTTATAAATTAGAAGACAACAGTTGGCTCATATTAATGCATTTACAGATTCCTGCAGTATATCATTCACTTTTGGAATGCAATTTTGACTACAGGTAATAATAACTTCGAATAATTTCATTAGGTTGAAATGTATATATTGATTGTAGCATTCTTAATTAAGTCTACAATCGTTATAATAACATTTGAAGAATTTATTTTCAAATAATATGAATGTCACTCCAAAAAATGACAAGACCATTATATTATTATATTCTATATCAGAAATAATATATAATATAAAGAGAAACTATTACACAGTATATGGAGCATGGAGATTTTCTCTATGGTACACGTTACCAGAAATCATAATTAATATGTGCATATAAATGAGGCAATGATGTAATTATCCCATCAGAGTAAAGCAGATATCATGATGAGAATGTATATTGAAAATAAACATTTTAAACAAAGAGTAACAAAATGTAAATTAGGGCAAGTTATCAGTGTAAAAATAAGAATAATGTACAGGAAATAAAATAATCAATTACCTAACTAGAGAAACAAATTTAATACTTAGAATAAATGTTATTAACAATTTATTATGTTATAATATTATTATTATTTAGGTATTGTGTTAAAAAATATTAATTTTTGGATCCATAGTGACTTTGTTGAATTTAAAATTTTCTAACATATTTGGTCTGATTGTATGTATTAAAAAAATTTTGTTGCGTTTCGAATAATACTTAAAAATGAATAAAGATAACTTTGACTATTGTCATACTTTGCTCCTTTTTGTATATACCTTTTGTGATAATAAAATTCGCATTTGTTTTTACGGCATATCGCATGAAATTATAATACTTACTTGCCAGTAGAAGTTTGTTCTTCAATAACACCTTCAAATAGAAACAAAATTAATGATAATAAAGTTAATCATAAAATATACTTAAAAATGAAGTAAAGTAAAATAAGATGAGCTGATTAGGCCAATCAAAAACAATAAAAACTGAATGTTGGATTCTGAGATTTATTCGGTGTAAACACCAAGAATAACCTACAAAAGTCTAGAAGAAGACTTATTTTCAGTGGAGTCCTTCTGGTGGTGACTGGCCAGTACACCGAGTGACAATCCCCTACTCTTTTCGGAAAAGTGTACTGCGTTCTTTAACGTGCACATGGGTCATAAATGCACACAGGACCAATAGTCTCATCCAAAAGATGGTGCACTATTGTAACTTGTATTTCAGCCCTCCAGCTGAAACACAAGGAGAGGCAGCGATGGGAATTGAACAGGGGACCTACAGATCTCCACGGTTCAGTACACACAGTGGCTACTACCAAATTAGCCGACTGAGCAAAGCTGAGCGATAGATCTATTATACAATACCTGAGATTACTGTATTTTGATATTTTATACACAACACTGTCAGTTCCTTTTCTAAAGTCTGCAGTACAAGTACACTTCTTCAGATAATAAAACCAATATCAAAGTAGACTTACCCTACCTGCATGAATAAGTTTCCCCTTCTTTTAAAAATCTTTAATTATAACGATGTGTCTGAATGTACGGTTCCAAACGCTATCTTGGTATTGATAAAGGTTTGCGGTTGGCAACAGCTAGGGACACTTACCATTACCGAGATAGCGTACAGTACTATATTCAAATCCATTGCCTAATTTGAATGAATGAACTTACCCCCGAAGTTGAGGGCAATGGTGGCGGACGTATCGCCATGCGTATTCTTGACGCAAACCTTGTAGTTGCCTGCATCACTTTCACTGATGTCATTAATTTCCATAGAAACAATGTAATCTCCTCCATCTGGCTTCACCTCCTGAGTATATCTGAAAATGATACTCAGAGTATTTATTTCTCATCTATTCATCAAAGTTGGTACTTACAGTATTATCATCATCTGTTATGAATGTTCATCCTATGTAGATTAAGCATACAGTATGTCCTCTAGCTTTTTCCACAACCTTTCTTTCGGTGGTCTAAAAATTTAATTGTGTTTCATACAATTCTTCATAACTCCCTCTCCTTTCACCCAGACGCCAGAGGCACTGGCAGCTCCCCTCTCTTAGATCGATGAGGTTTCTCCGATCTTCACTTTCTTGTTTTGTCTTTTTGATATTTTCAAACAAACATTTTAATGGATTGTCTGATTTTTATGCTATTTGGTTTTAGTCTGTTGAAGTTGCAAATAATTTGGCCGCTGGGCCAGGAAATATAATTTGTTTTTCTGTGAATTTTTTGAAGTGTAATATACAGTGATATCGTTTAATAATGATACATAATTTTAGATTTGTTGTTTTCTAAACTTGGATGCATCCTACATTTATTACAGCCAGAATTTTGGTATTTTCAATTTAAATATTTGTTTAAATCATACTGTACTGTAGTTAAAAATAACGCCATGCTTATTCATTTTTTTTTTTAGGAGAGACTTCGCACAAATATTTCAGGCAGCATTTATTTTGGTATTTACACAATCAGTTAAAACAAGAGCAACCGCTCACTGGTCCTCGTGTTAAACTGAGGTTACCTCCATTCAGCATTTAACGCTTTATGTATGCACATTTCCGATGAGGCTTTTTGTTGACACTATTAAAACATGCTTTAGTCATGGAGGAAAGCTTAAATATAGTACACAGTGGCTAAGTTATTATTTTGGGTTTTTTGGGTCACAACCTTTGGTTCCATAGAACACATCGCTAACCGACTGCACCATCCATGCAACATGTACTATAGTATTAGTGGTAATGGCAGTAATGTACAGTCCTTGCTAAAACCCCTGTTTTGTAGGTGCATGGGGCACTCTGGGGTTGAACTTTTAAAAAAGGGCCATGCATTTAATGTGTACAAAATTTCCTGCACGTCTGTTCAAAACTGACGATCCAGACTTTAAAGTTCTTGTAACAACAGGAACAAGAACAGCAGTGTGGTTCTGGAGTCGCAACGCCACTCGTTATTGTAATGAGGATTAATGTGACATTCGATTTTTTTCGATGGATGAGCGAATAAATTTACCTAGGCCTAGCCTACAGATAGTGGTTGAAAACCCACTATCACCTGTGTAGCACAGCACACTTGGCATGTGGCCTAGCCTAGGTTTGGCTAGGGCCCACCTTGCCCTTGGGCCTTAGCTCGATATCATCTCTCTCTCCACAGACAGGCACATGACAAGATAAAGTGTCATAAATATATAAAAAACAATAAACAAAGCACAAAACTGAGCCCAGCTTGTGCGTAAATCTACTTGCAATTAAGTTAATACTGTAATAACAAAATATCCAAAATCACAAACTACACCCGTTAAGGGTAGTATACAGCTGACAGTAGTCTGTAAGCATACACACGCGCGATTGTTTATGTTTATGTGTTGATCATTTTGTGCCACCTACGTTGAAAAACTTTTCGAAAACTTCAATCACAGCATGGTAATTTTGACTCCGTTTTTTTTTTTTTTTTTTTTTTTTTTTTTTTTTAAGCATTGCAAATTATCTTAATCAAGTAGTACTTCATTCTAATTGGTTAATTGGTCTCTAGACCATACATTACGGATACATTACGGATCTGTCAAAGATCTGTAAAATAAAATCACCAAACCACGATATCTTGCATTATTACCTCATAAGACATTATTATATCGATAGGCATACTTATTTAGGCCTAAACAACTATCAAATAAATATGGAAGCTTTGCCTACCTTCCAGCATTTTTGACTTCTTTGTTGTTCATTAGCCATGTGACAATAGGGCGGGGATCTGCCGCAACCTTACAAGCGAATGTTAGTATTTTACCGTCATCGCTTTGGCTTATGTAAGGTTTCTTAACGAAACTGGGTCCTGTATCTTTCACCATGTTTATCTGAAATAAAAACAAAACATATACCTAGGCCTACAGTTGTATGGTCTACAAACAAACATTATGATGGTTAACCTTTATTAGCATATGAGCTCTGTTGGGAGAACAGTGAATTATTATACTGAACAGGAATAATAATAGATGCGACATTTATCGCATGCAATAAACTGCCTTTACAATTGCATTGTATATTATTACCCTTGTCACAGATTAAACACTGGAACACATCTTCAGCTCCCTGGAGAGCACAATTCCATAAGCGGCTAGAATCAATGCTTGGTATTAGATCCTACCAGGTACTCACTTACTCCTTGGTGAGAGAGAGTGTGTGAGGGGAGGGAGAGACAGAGAGAGAGAGAGAGACAACGTAGACATACGGTACCGTATCTATTTCATTGTCAAAGGATACGTTAGCGACTTGCACAGTACAAGATTCCCCGACCTCGAGGGATGAGAGCCCGGGTGAGAATCGGAGACACAACCGTTGTGCCAATTGCTTCCACAAAGAATATAAATTATTAACTTATCAATCAATCCATATTGTTTAAATAGGAATTGATAAAGCATCATTTTAATCGACCGAGGTGCAGTTTCAATGTCATGTCCCCTATACATGTAAAAATTTATCAGCCCGAGACCTATTTCGCAATTGAAACATAAACATTTTCGAAATTCGCTGAAGTAGACCTATCAATCGGTGACCTAAATTTGCAAGTATAGGGTCTATGTGCTCCGGAAATTCAACGCAATAATTCTGAAATTTCAACTGAGAGTGATATGGTGTGATACAGGAGGAGGAGAGGAGGAGGACAGTAACATCAATGATAATGTTGTTTGATGACGACGATCATACATGATGAGAACTATCAATTTTACACGCCCTAAGGCCGTCTGTTTATACTTCAACGATAACGATAACGATAAAAAAGCGTTTGTTCATATAGAAAACCAAAAAATAAGAGAATTGTTTACACTAGGACGATTCGATAACGATTTATCGTGTATATGATAACAAAATATAACAAATCAAATCAGATGACGTCATAATCATGGAAAAACGATAAAACCATTGTTACTACTACGATTTTAAAGTTTTTCCATGATTACGACGTCATCTGATTTGATTTGTCAAAATAGTTGTTATTACATAACTGATAAATCGTTATCGAATCGTTCTAGTGTAAAAACTTCTCTTATTTCTTGTATTTTCTATAGGAACAATTGCTTTTTAGCTTTGTTATCGTTATCGTTGAAGTATAAACAGGCCTTTATTCTGAATATAAATTTAGGCCTACTTATTAAAATATTTATAACAATAAAATAATAAATTGCTTATTCGATTCCTCTATAATACAATATATTCTGAACATGAACTAGAAGAAATTATCAAACACCTATATCAATCTTCAATGCCTACTCCTTTATTCTGAAATACATTGTGTATATCATATTATCTATTCCACTAGGTATACCGGTACCGTAAGTCTCAAATTCACCTTTTGTTTTAAATTTAGAAGCAGTTTTTATTTTAAAGATTAATTTATATTACATGACTCTTTATGAGCCGTCTTAAATTTAGCCGTCCCTGAAATATTTTGTTTCTGTATAACTATTCAGGCCTAATAAATGTTATTTATTATTTCATTACGTATGTACCGTGTATTTTGATAAATACATGAATATGTAAGTGGTGGTAAATTTTCATGCAAAGAGATATAGTTGTAATGATGGTGATAATGACGATGATGATGATGATGATGATGATGATGAAGATGATGATGATGGTAATGATGATGATGATGATGATGGATGTTGGTGATCATGACGATGATGAAGATCATGTTTACGACGACGAAGATGACGATGTTCGGAACCCTGCGACGCTGAATTCATACCAGAACTGAGTTTTATCACGATTTCATACGGTACAGACAAATCAAAAATTATTATAAAATAGTAAAGGACTCTCAATGCATATTGTAGAAATTACATAACCCTATACTTCATTTCGTTAGTGTAGAAAGATAGGCCTAATACACTTTTTTTATATATATAAGAATCAGTAAAATGTTGCCCAAGCTCAGTGTTCTTTTTTGCCGATTTCAGGCTCAAAACGTTCTTAATTTGTTCTTATTTTTACACACTCAAACATCGAAAATTATTATTTTACTGCAGTATATTTAATTACTGTACTGTACTGTAATAAATAGAGTATTGTATAGTATTTCGGAGTCACCTACCGCACATAAGGTACAGATAAAGTTTGTTTGTTTTATATATATATATAAAAATAAAAACCTTAGTTGACATTTGACCTCAGCCTCAAATTTTTTCTTATGTTGTTCTTAATTTCAGCCTCAGTGTTCTTATAAAATGTGTTCTTATATTTAAAAAAAAAAGTGTACCAGGACGATGTCTGAATATTTTCGTCACTATGTAATTTAATCCATGTGTGGATTATTGTCATCATCATGTATCACCATCACTACCACCATCGTCAACACATCATCATCATAATCAGGCCAAAAAGTGATTGTGTTGTTGTTTCTTTTTTTTTTTTTTTTTTTTTACTGCAACGAAAAATAATCTTTTTGCTTTTAAATATAGATTTTAAAAGTCTTTGTTGTATTTTTGTGTATTTTCTAATTTCAAGGCATAAACACAAAGTTTTGGGAAAAAAGAAAAAAGAAAAAAAACCTACCGACCTACCTATTTTTTGGATTTTCCCAAAACATAGCCAACACAACAATTTTTTGTTTTGGCCTCATCCACCAACACACACCACCACACCCACCACGTAATTACCAGTACTAATATGATATTTAGGCCTATAGATTTGAAATTATATTTTGGTGAGGGTATTTACTATTTGCTGTTTACTATCATACCGTCTAGTGGTAAACAAGCTGGTAAATGACAAATATAGGTTTATAGAAAGAAGTAAAATTAATCTTCCACCTCCTCTAAGGCTTTGACAACAATCTTTCACATTGTCATTATTCTTATTTTCCATAGAAAATGACTGCTTTTTGTAAAAATAGCAAGTACTTTTTTCATGAGGTGTAACTAGCAATTAATTTTATTTGGCCTTTGGGAAGCTGTGCTGGTTACAATATAAATACATCTATCCACATAAACGGTTTAAAAGTTAACAGTTACAGTGTTGATTTAAGATATAAAACACTATTAATATAAAATATTATAAAGTCATAATAATTGAAACGAATTCGAACCAAATACCCTCCAATTAAAAATCATAGATATTGTGCTGAAGAATTAAAATTTCATAAAAATATTGAGATTAAGTTTTCGATATGAAATTAAATATACTCATAAATTACAAAGAGTAAACACTATTATGCTCTATATCAATACTAAATATTATAAATCATAAGATATATATTGAAATAAATTCAAACTAAAGGCCCTCCGATTAATAACCATAAATATTGTGTAGAATAATAAGGCTTAAATACTATATTTAAAATACTGAGATTACGGTTTTCGATATAAAATAAAGCTTCTCATAAGTTACAAAATTACACAAAATGATTGATTTATTTTGATTTTAATTAATTTGCCTTCAGCTTATTTTATTATAGATGCTCTCCATATTACACAACTATTTATGGACACGAATGCGTTGCTCTGCATGCCAACAAAATCATCATAAGACACACAACCGTGTCACTGATTAATGAAGATCTTGTAGAGGCCTGGTGGACGAACATAGTTAACATTCCTACACACATCGCCATTCATTGAGTAGATATAGGCCTAGGCAATGCATCGAATTGCAAGGCTCCAAACCCTAGAGGTCTGTTTATTACGTTCGAGAAAGATAACCTCGACCTTAATTTTATAATTTGACATTTACTATATTTTATTATATATTATATAATCTTTATCTTATCTTTAACTGTAGGCATACTTTTTAATTTTACATTTTATTATATAGGCCTATTAATATATATCTAATCTTGCAAAAACAAATAGATAAACCCGGTTTTTGGTGTTCATTTTTTAACACTGTTGGGTGTCGAATAAATACACATGGTAAAAAATCATATCAAGCATAGGCCTACTCTTCAACAAAAAGTTCCCCTTTTCATATTGTATAAAAAGTGTCTCTGACGGGATTCGTACCTATTACCTCTAACTATCAAAGCGAGTGTATCACACCATTCCGTATGAATTCAGAGACGTTTCTTGATAGGCCTATAGATGTCTAGAATCCGGGGCTGCTTTATAACAATAAACGCTGCACGGTACCAAATTATTTTCACAACAGCGGGCCCGTAGCCAGGTTCTTCCAAAGGTAGGGGGGGGGGGTTTCTGGGCATGAGGTCCACAGTTGTAGCCCCGGTGGGGTCGGCGAAACCCCCAAAGCAAGAGGATTTTTGTGCTTTTTGGGTCTAAATAATGCTATAAAAGCAGATATATTTGAAAATGTCTGTGTCTGGGTGGGTCTGCAGTGCATTAGTTTGGTTGAAGGACTCATTTGGGAAATTTAAAGAGGGGGTTTCACCAGAAAAGTGGGGGGTTTGCTACAAAAGGGGTGGGAGATTCTCCCGAACCATAGAAACCTCCCCTGGATACGGGCCTGAACAGTCAATTTATAAAATAAAGGCAACATAGAATGTAAACATTCAGAACTTTTTGACTTTAAATAAGTGTTGTATATTATTTAATTCGATACTTTGATGAGGTATTTAAAAAAAAGGAAACACGTGTCTGGAATAAACAACTGATGCCCAACTTTTCACCTGCTAATAGTTGGTCAATTTAAGAAGATGACAGTGCCATGCGTTTTAACCCTAGTTTATACCCCATTGGTAAGTCTAAGGAAATAGGCTCCCTGCGGGAGCGTGTGTCTATGCCATATACTACGTTTACTAATAAAATATCCACATGGGATTCGGTTATCAGGATTTAAAATGTGTGGTGTATTTTGTTATAACATTTTGTACAGTAATAAGGCACTTCATATAACACATGACCCATTATGCACCTGCACCGAATTTACTAATTCGCCCGATGGAGCATAGAAAAAAAAAACAACGGTCACTTGCTCTTTAAAGAGCCATTCACACAATATGACGTCATTCATCAACGTTTTCAAAACCCACTTATCGTTATTCACCTTTTGAAAATATTAGTATTCCTAAGTTGATGAGCTCGCAGCCACTTTAGTAGGCCTATAAACGAGCGACTGATCTGATGTAACGTGCCACTTTAATTTCATTTATTGCTATTTTATATTGAGTAGCTCAAGAATCAACAGAGTTGCTTTATTTATTCACTTTCTGATCCTGTCAAGGCGCGAGGACAGACCCGTGAAATCCACCAATCACAGCTGTCACAACTATCACAGCACACATCAATCCACACTTTTCTAAAATGTCACACACTGTAATTCCAATTGCCTTATAAGATAATAGCTGTTCAAGGTAAAACTGACAAAATGTGATCTTTTAAGTCCTTACAGTACTTTTTACATGCAGTCGAAAAACCACAATTCGTCGGGGAGGGAAAAAATATGTGTTCTCTCATAGATTCTATCTATAACATCGATTTAAATAAGCCTTTAAAAGCCTTGATTGTCATATTTTTCGGGGCTTCACCCGGCCTCTTTCGAAAGATTTGCTAACTGGCCAAAAATAAATTTTTTTATTCCGAAATTACCATTATTGGCGGTCGGAGAGTTCGCTAAACAAGGCATAAAAAAAGTCTATGCCATGCCTGTGTCACAAATCTCGGAACAGTGTCGCTTTCTTCGGATATGCCCTAATACTATAATGCCTTAATTTAGGCCCTATAATGAATAATCATAAATGAGAAAATATATGCTTATCCTCAGGACAAAATTAAAGTTAAGTTGAACAATTAGGCATAAATTGTTTTGTTTTGCGGACTAAACTATAATTAGCTTGTCGTTATTGACAAAAATGAAAATTAGTGAAACTTGTGTAGGCGGTAAAAGGTATTTAAGAACAAAAAGAGTACATAAATAAAAAATTATATATATATATATATATATATATACATATATGTTTTATGAATTTTATATAATTCAATACAAATTTAGATAGAGAATGCCTATTTGTAATTATGAAATATTGAATAATACATTTTCTAGGACTGCATTTGAATCCCATATGAATGGCGAATCACTCAACCATGAAATACTAAATAATACTAATAATAACCATGAAATACTAAATAATAATAATAAAATAATAATAATAACAATAATAATAATAATAATGATAATAATAATAATAATAATAATAATAATAATAATAATAATAATAATGATAATGATGATGATGATGATGATGATGATGATGATGATGATGATGATGATGATGATGATGGTGATGATGATGAATAAGTAGACCTAAATCTATACAATACAAAATACAAAACACGACCCAACAGACGTTCCTGATAGGTCATATTAGTAAAGAGATAAATGTATACAAAAATTGTCTAAAAATATATCCATGTTGCTGAATATTTTAAGCCTGAAAACTTGATGATACAACCTGGAAACTCATGAAGCAATATTGAAAGAACGATACTGGTTTCCTAACATAGCGGCATATAGATTCATTTAACATTCCATACGTTCTCTGGCACAATTCTCTTCCTTATAATACAATTTCCAAAGTACGGCTAGTTCACAAACATCGAACTAATTATATAAATTCAATAATGCGAAAATTTTCTCAATGAAGTTTGATGATATTATCCTCTTACCTGCGTAGGGGCATAACGCACGGATCAAAAATCAGCGAAGTGTACAAATTTTCCAGTACGAACCGTTCTTCTGTTATTCTACGCGAATACCAGAAGTTACAGTGAAGCCTGGGAGCCGGTTCACTGCATCATGCCTAGCTCAGGCTTCATCAGCGATTTGGTATTTACCATATAAGGGTGGGCGGTGTGATCGCGCTTGCCTTTCCCAATGTCAGAGAAAAGATGGACCGGTCTTGCCTTGTTGGTGATTTAATTGTCAACCATGGCACGTTTTGACTGACCCTTTGGCCTTTGGTGTCGTTATGATTTTTTGCAACTCAATAGTTTATACTGTATACAATGTTGGAAACGTAACGGTGCTAAATGAAGCAGCTATATAGACCTATTCATCACTGTCCTTTAGGCCTACGCATCAAATTAATTTGATTCGTACTAATAAGTTACGTTTGTGTCGTCAGTGTCCAGCAGCCTTATAGAGTTTGTTATTGACATGATGCATAAAAAAC